TATATATATATATATATATATATATCTATGGCTGTCAGCAACACATATACATGATATGCACTAATACACATGCATGCAGACACAGAATATGCGTGCATGAATAAAGAAGTGCTCGTAGCTACGCGAGGATATAGATACAAACGTATAGCCATTTAAGTAGATGCATACAACCATTGCCTTGGGCTGTGCGCGTTTGCGCCGTGTAACCTGGTGAGGCATCTAAACCCGTTGGGGCAAGAGAGACAAACGAATCGCCAAGGAGACAGCAAAGCACAATAAAAGTGAGGCAATAACTACTCCCAGAGAAGAGAAAGCAGACATCTCGGGGTGGTCATCACACCTCGAGATATATGCAGAAACCAATGGAGGAAATTCACGGTGCTTGCAAAACCCTTGGCAGCTACCACATCGCCAGAGACCCCTGAAGTGTCGAGGGGGCCCCTGTGAAAGCACGGCTCTCCTGTGCTGCAGTCACGCATCTTCTCATTGCTCCACCTGCACCCAGTCGAAAGGGGCATACTCGCGCCTTAGCCGCTGAACATTTTCTTTGTAAAGCCTACAAAAAAAACCACTCCGAACACTAAGCCCCAAACGCTTAAACCAATAGGCAATTGCTGCACACGGCATACCCCAAAACCCTAATGAGCATGTGGTGCCCGTAACCCAATGAGGCGGCTACATGAGGAAGTTCGAGGCTTGTGTTGGAGGGTTTCGAGGTGAGGACGGGCGAACTATTATAATTGTGATGGAGTGAAGGCTTCGCGTACCTCATATCTCTAAAAGGTCTTTCTGTCTTTTCCTTTTCCAACATACCCAAAAACACCTCCCGGCCAAACGCCCTGCTGAACTCCTCGCCGTCTTCTATTACGTGCGCCAGCCCGTCCTCTGCGCACGAACGTCAAACATTAAACCATAGACCCTAAGTCCCAGCCCAATAGCAACTCTTCGAGGTCCACCATTCTCGCGCAAATTCCCGCCAAATACTTCAAGTAAAAGCCACTGTCAACCACTAAGCCCTAAACCCCAGGTCCCGGAAAAGCGCGTACCCAAGGAGAAGTCCACATAAATGTACGGAAAGCCCTTGGGGATCGTCCCCCGCACTCCTCCCCTGCCCTTCGCTTCAATGTACGTTTTATGGCTCTGCCAAAACCCTTCAGCCTCCGAAAAAGCTTTTTTGAAGTATAGCTGCATGCATGAAAAAACAACCCCCAAACACTCCAACCATACACCTCAAAAACGCAGAAACCCTTTGTCCGGTCCCGTAAGCATCGCTAAGCATAGTTTCGATAGCTGCAGGTATTCGACTCTAAACCCTAAACCTCAGCCCTCAATCCCCCCCTAAGGTTACGGACTCGAGCTTCTTGGAGTCTGTCTGCAGGCAGTGGCAGCACATCGACTTCAGTGTGGAATCCGAGGCCAATCAGCTGTTTCTCAGCTGTGTTCTGTTTGGGAACTGTCTCCAGAAAGAGTGGAGCCTCTCCTCTTGAAGCAAAGAAGGCAACAAGCGTCTTCATGTAGTTCCTCATGCACTCAAATGCCTCCTCCTCAAGTCCCGTCACTGCAGAACAGTGGGGCTGTCACCAGACCCCACAATCGCACAATCCCAACATGCGCAACTCTGCACAGACAAGAGCTAGCTAAGTATTTGGTGGGTGCATACTTTTGTGAAACCCACAAATAATAAGGCAGAGGAACCGCCACTGGCAAAAGGCAGAGACCACAAACCGAGCAGCGGGGAAGGACAGAAAAATAAAAACGAGGAAGGTGTCCAAATGCAAGGGAATGAGAGACAAATCATCCACAAGGAGACACAGTTACAAAGGACACACACCAGAGACAGACTCGCAAAACTATATAGATAATCATTAGACCGCCTACCACAGGAATGATGAGAAGATGATCTTTGTGGATGGTTCTGTTCATCGGCGGAGCGCACAGGAACGCGAAAGGAGACAGTGAAAGAAGACTTTCTCCTCGGAGCCTGTCAAATCCTGAGCTGTCTAGGCACCACAGACAGCGGGTCCTGCAGGCGGCAGCACAACAACGAAAGCTTGCTTCCCTGTCTCACTTTTCTTAAGGGTGTGCTGCTCTGCCCTTCCTTCGCCCCAACAGGCTTCTGTGCTTTATCTAAAGTGTCAGTCTATCCAGAAGGGACAGCATCAGGGGTTTAGGGTTTACTCTGCCTGGTTAAGTCTATTGCTTCTTTCATTCTGCTTCTGCTGCCGCATTTTCCGCTTCATGGATTCAATTGCCCCAGGATCTGCAGACACACGGAGCAGTGTCAAGGAACAAGCGGAGACAAATAGAGATTGGAGAAAAGGCGAGAGGGAAGCGGAGGTAAACCGAGAGTACAACAGGGGGTAAATACAAAGAGACAAACAGATAGAGGGAAACCAAGAGAGACACACAGGGAAAAAGAAGACACAAGCTAACCTGTCATTAACAGTTTGTTCATCTGCTTTTCGTTGGCTGCGCCGGACAACGCTTTCTCCTCGCGAGCCATTTCCAACAAGCTCCGCGAACTGTCTCCCCCAACCCCACTGCAACAACAACAAAAGCAGAAGCAGCGGCAGCCGTTGCAGGAGCACCACGCAAATACGCCAGCAGTTGCTGAAACAGCAACTGGCGTGGCAGAAGCAACACAGCAATAACAGCAGACAACTGGCTTGGCAGCAGCAATGGCGGCCCGTGCAGGGGAACCATTACAACCACGAGAAACAGCAGCGGCAACGAAGACACGAGGAACAGCAACAATACAGAGGAGAAGGCCAGTAGCCACAGCAGCAGGCACAGGTACAGCAGCAACAATGAGAACAGCAACAGCAACACCGAGAACAGGCCCACGAGCAACAGTAACAGTAACAGGCAAAAATGCAGCAACAAAGTTGCGACGAGAACAGCAGCAGAGAAGCAGAAGCAACAAAGAGAACAGCAGCAGCAATAGCAGCAACAAGCTGACTCTGTGGATTGTTCTGCTTGCTGGGTCTTTCTCTTTACGCCTCTGGGGGCATTTCCTGCTGTCTCGCTGTCCTTTGTCTGCCTCTGCGGCCTGTATGCTGCTGCTGCTGTAACTGCAGCAGTAGCAGCAACAACTTCCGGAGCTTCAGCAGTATTAGTCTTCATTCCCTTTCCTTCTAAACTTTTCAGCGCCATGAGGGCCTCTAGTTGTTTGGCAGTTTCGATGTCTCCTCTAAGCCGAGCCTTCAGTGCCTTTGCGGACAAGGCATTCAAATCATCACTGCTGCTGCTGGTGATGGTGCTCTGATTACTGCTGCTGCTACTGGTGCTGTTGTCGTTGCGGTTAGTGGTGCTCTCTGGTACATTTGCATCTGAAGGCTCTCGGTCGTTGCAGTTCTTGCTGCTGCTGCTGCTGCTATCGGCAGTGCTGCTGCTGTTGCTGCTGCTTTCTTGTGCTTTCTGCTGGCTAAGGAGGAGCAACTTTCTTTCCAGCTTGGTAAGAGAGGACTCAGAGACTGTTCGCGACTTCGGCTGTTGCCACCTTCCCCCAAACGATCCTCCGGACCGCCGATCCCGAACACGATCTTCAACACGATCCTCAAAACGATCTTGGGCACGATCGCTGTCACGGTCTTGGGCACGATCGCTGTCACGATATTGGAAACGGTCGCTGACACGATCCTGGACACGATCGTTGGCACGATCTTGGACACGATCCTCTACAGGATCCTTTACACGATCTTCCAAGCCCGCAAATCGCTCTGCAGCAACCCGGCTCCCCTGGTGTTGTTGCTCTGCAAAGGGATCCCCACGTGCTGCTTGGCGTTCCCGCAGCCGTTCCCGCAGCAACTCACGATCCCCTCGTCGTTCCCCAGTCGCCTCGGCACGATCACTAACACGATTCCGAAAGCGATCAACAGTGGCCTCGGAAGGACGTTCTCTCTGCTCCCTTGGGAATGCGGGAGGCCCCCGAGGGGGCCCACGGCCCCGGCCTTGGGTCCACCGAGGGGCCTCTTCCTGCGCCAATACCTTCTGAAAACCCTCAAGAGCCTCGTCGGTCAAGGATCCAAAGTGTCTCCGAAGAGCAGCAGCTAAAGGGATCCCTTCCTCTGCTGCTTGCTGCTGCAGCCGCTTTAGCTGCCGCCGCTGCCATAGCTGTGCTCCAGGAGACAATGCAGCAGAAGCAGCAACAGGCTCCGGTGCTGCTGGAGAGCCCTGCAGACAGCGCAACATACACTCCTACAGCAACACGTTAGACCCTAAACCTTATACCCTAGGCGGCAACCGTGAAGATAATGCCCTCAAAACAAACCGTCGATAATCTATCGTCCTAAACCCTAAATACTCACTTCAGGCGGTAACCCGGATCCTCCTCCTCTGTAATAAGGGTTTAATTCTCTCTGTGCTGCCAAACTTTCGGGTTCCTCAGCTGCTGCTGCACCTGAAGCATGAGCAGGCCCAGAGGCTCCCCTTGGGGACTCCCCCGATATAAACGCCTTCAGGGCCTCACGGCCCTGCTGCAAGGCTGTTCCTGGTGTTGCCGCTGCTTTCGGTGCTGCTGTTGTTGCTACTGCCGGCGAAGCTGCTGCTGCTGATGGAGATGTCGAAGAGGCGAAGGGATTAGATAGAAGGTTCTGAAGTACTTCAAGATCGGCTTCCCTGTTAGCTGCTGCTATTGCTGCCGCTGTTGCTGCTGAAGCCGCAGGCTGATGAACTGTTGCGGCTTTGGGGGGCGACACAATGACTGCTTCATCACTGCTACTACTACTACTACTGCTGCTGCTGCTGTGCTTGTGTTTTTTCTTGCTCTTTTCCTTTTTTGATTTCTTCTTTCGGGACTTCTTTCGACTGCGACGCTGGAGAGCTGAAGCATCGGGCGGCAGCTCGACAGTGATTCCTTTCAGCATGTTGCCGTGTTGTTGCTGCTGATGCTAACGTTTGCTGTTGGGGTTTGAGATGCTGCCTCTCGGGGTGTCCGTGCTGCTGCTGCAAATACGCCTGATGCTGCTGATGCTGCTACGGCTGCTACTGCTGCGGCTGTGCAGTTGCTACACTTGCCCCGGTTTCAGCATACTGAACTTGCCGCACGGCTAAAGTTTCTGCTGGTTCTGCTCCTACTTCTGCTGCACTTGGAGTTGTTGATTATTGTGATATCAGGCTACAGGCCTCGAGTAAGATGAGAAGGATATATGCAGTGTTTGGCTGGGAGTAGTTCGTGTAGAATTTGGGTCTGGGACTTAAAGTGTTTGTCTTGCCATTGCCTCCAAACTACAGACATACAGACATGGGCTTAAAAATTAGTAAGTAGGGCTTAAGGTGTATGGTTGTTGGATTTTAGGCATCCGTGAGCAGCAGCAGCGGTCGCGGGGCCTCTGGGGGCTTGCTGCGTCCTGCATGCAGCAGCAGCAGCAGCAGCAGCACTAACAGCTGCTCTTCCTGCTACTGCTGCAGACGGGAGACTGAAGTTTGTCAAAGGGGTGGAATGCAACTCCTGCGTGGAGCGCCGAACGCTAAACCCTATACCCAAAACATTAAGAGGGATCGTCGCGGCTGCGTTCGGGTTGGGTATCTCATCCGAGTTGGGGCGCATCGGTTTCCAGTGGTCTTTTGCAATTTATTTATTTATTTGTCTGTGCATCTGTGCATTTTGTTTCATTGTTTGAGTCCACTGGTCCCTGCAGACTCTCTCGCACTCTCCCCGTCACCTCCCGCTCCAGCAGGACCAGCAGCAGGAACAGCAGCAGGAACAGCAGCAGCAGCAACAGCAATAGCGAAAACTACAACGGCATCTACATAGTCATTAACAGAAGGTATCGCCTGAATAGGGCGTACAGAAGAAGAAACAGCAGCGGTAGGGAGAGCAGAGCAACGCCAGCACCGGCATACAGCAGCTGTATAGGACAACCAGCAGCAGCGTCGGAAGGAAGAAGAAAGAGCAGACGCAAAAGCAGGAGGAGGTCCCCGGGAGGTTGGGGGCCCTCTAGTCGTTTGCTGATGCGCCCTTAGATTGATTGTTGCTGCAGCTGCAGCAACTTTAAAATTTTGCATAGCAGCAGAATCTCAAGGAGCAGCAATAGCAATGGTAACGGCAGCAAACGCAGAAATGGCAGCTGGAGATGCTAAAGAGGCGTCTGCTGCATTTTCCCGCGGCCAGCAGGAGCTCACCTCTTGCTGCTGCTGCTGTTGCTGCTCCAAACCGCAGATGCTGCAATACAGCAGCAGCAGTAGTAGTGAATTTGATATCACAGAAGCAGAGGGCCCGGAGCTTCTTCCTGCCGCGGCGCGTTTAGCTGCTGGAGGGTTAGCGCTTCGCCGTATGCAGGGGTTCAGTAAGGACCCTGGCATGCTGGTTGCAGCAGGTTTATTTGTGTTGTTTCTGTCTTTGTTAGTATTTGCTTTCGCCGTTGTAGTGTTGCTGCTGCAGCAGCTGCTGCCGCTTGTGGGCCTCTTCAGCGCACGCGTTGGGCGGGAAGTGTACTTCTGCTGTCTCCCCGCCTGCTCCATGGTTAGTCTGGTTATTTGGATATATTGGCAGTGGCTGGCACTTAAGTATTTCAGGCACTCATAGTTGGAGCAGATGCCGCTGCTGCTGCTGCTGCTGCTGCTGGAGCAGCGGCAACAGAATGCAGCAAGAGCAGCAACAACACAAGCAGCAGCAGAAGTAGTAGCGCTGGCCTTGGCGCATTGTTTCCGTCGCAGACGGAATCCCTAAACCCTTAATTCTGACATTTGAACTATTTGTTCTTTCATCCTGACTGTCTTCCTTGCATGGCACGAACAACCGCAAATAATGTACAAATATGAGACACCCATATAATCATGCAGAATGAGAACCACAGACGAAATGGAAACGAAGTAGCCTGAAGGATTTGGCGCGGAGTCATCATATCTACTTCTGGCTTTAATGATAATACCCTAAGCCATGCAGCAGCAGTGGAAAGAGCGACATTCACATTCAGACACAAGTAACAAATAAACAGTGCAGACAGAAACAAGAGGATGGTAACGAGCCAGGGCTGCAACATGCACAAAGACAAAGTGTAGAGTTCCGTCCAAGGTCTGCACCGTTGCTTGAGGTGTGGACAATGGGCCCCTCAGAGCACCGTTCATGGAGCGCAGCGGGGTGAGCACTCTCCACACCCCTTGTTGTTGAGTTTAGCGGCAGAATGATCACACGATACACCCCTAACCATTCTGTAAACTATCATCTTCGGGTTTTGGTGGGAACACAGCAAAACCAAAACATCCCCAGTCAGTCACCTCAAAAAAGTAAACACGTTGGGTTTCTATTACAGCACTCCGAAAAAAATTCGAACCCTTTAGGTGTACGTACACCTGAAAAGATGTTGCCAACTTCAGTGAACTTTTTGGTACACCTCAGAAGCAACCCTCATCAGAGCGTCTGCTAAGCGCAACACACAGATGAACTACCTCTGCACTTTCACCAGCCCTCTGCGGGTCTGCATCCTCCCCAGGATCACAGGAGGGCTTCGGGTTTAGGCGGCGGGGTGCGCTGGCGGCACACTGCCTCCAGGAGTCTCAGCCCGCGTCAAGGGCCGGTTTCGCTGTTCATCGTTTCCTTCTGTTCCTATTGATAATATCCGTACTCCTGCAACAATACTACTAGCAGGAGCAGCGTTAACAGCAGCCACTGTTGCTCGTGGTGTTGATGCTTATCTATTCCCGTCTTTCTCTCTTCCTGCGGTTGTTTTCTTCTTGCCGCTCAGAGAGAATAGCCACCAGACGTAAAAACAAAGACAGGAAATTTACATAAAACTGAAGTGCATGCAGCAGATAGTCCCTGTTTCCCATGTCGAACTGGGCCACTGCCAGCTGCGTGTCGTACACCACAAACCTGAAAGCAAACACCAAGCCCCAAATAACCACCTATGTTCCGTCAACAGAAAGCCACAGACCACCCCGATGAGTTCAGAGTTTACGGTCTAGAACTATAGAGGAGGGAGAAGGGGGGTTAGGGTTGCCTGGAAGGGTGGATATCCGCGCTGGGTATTTAGGGTGTGCTTGTCAAGTTAGGGTTTAGGGTTTAACGCACCCAAGGTACATGAAAAGGCCGCCCCAAAGAATCACATTGTTAACAAGCTGAGCCCTCAAGAAGATGTTGACAAGAGAAGCAAGAGAAAGATAGGTTAGCGCTGCTCCGAGAATAGATCCCAAATACAGGTATGACCTGAACACCCCATTTGCAAACCCCAAACAATAACATTAGCCCTGTTCTCAACCCACATACCCTATAAGCCAAGCAGGAACCCTAAACCCTCAACCCCCAAGACAAGCACACCAAAGAAAGCACAAAAACTTGGAAGCCCCCACTAGACCCCAAAACAAAGTCCGCTGTCCTCGGCCACCCAGCCCCCAATGCAAGATCCTAAAACCTCAACCCAAACAGAAGTGAAGTGGTGTGAAGGGCCTGCCTTTGCTTGGCAACGAGCGCTGCTGCGGAAAAGCAAAAGAAGATGGCGACAGAGGCAAAGAAGGCGGCGGGAATGACTTGCGGCCCAACATAGAAGTGAACTGCATGCAAATAGTTTGCTGCCAGCATCCCGTTCAAGACCCCAAAGCCCCCAAAGTAGACAGCGCGTTCCTTGGTCAGCATCTGCATCAAAACACACAATGCATTAAGGAGAGCTGGACCCAGACCAACCCGAAGCCACTCCCGTTTCCACCACTCCACCACCACTCAATCCCAAACCCTACACGCTATACAGAACACGCTTCTGTGTATCAGGGCAGGCAGAGCTGCCTCTACACATACACCCTCGTTGTACACAAGAATACACACGCAGTTTGCTCGCTCACTTGCGACTCTGCATGCGCCTTCTGAGACGAGTAGGTGAGACCCATGACGCAGCCGATGGAAAGCATTAGGGAGAGGAAGGGAGGGAGGCTAATCCACTTGAGCTGCCCGTACACCCCAACTGCTGTAAGCAACACATTGACCGTCAGAGCCGCATATATCCTCGAAACATGTCGCTTTTGAGGAGCACTAAGAGGCGTGAAATCCAACAGAGACCGGGCGGGTACGGCCGACGCCCCTGTGAAATTAAAAGCCTCCATCTTGAAAGAAGAGAGAGACGACTTCGGCGAGTTCAAGGCGATGTGATTTCTGAAGAAAGCAGAAAAAAAAAAGGCTCGATGCATGCACCTCACGTTCTGGGCGCCAGAGAAGAATGCGCGCCAGCTGTTCACGACGACCGTGCACCCCTAGAAAATACGAGATACACAATATCCATCAATACGATGCACACCAAGCGCACGAGCAAATACATGCAAACAATCTAAACCGGTCACGGATTCTCCACTGCACGTGTATCTTCCCAGCCCCTTCGCTTTCTCCCGCAGATCTGCAGGGAGATTTAACCGGAAAGTACCGGCAATCCGCTGCCTTTCTGTTCACTATTCGCAACTGCTTTAAAACCCATACAACGCCGTAAGCTGGCAAATGCCAGCTGAGAAGTAAAGACGAGCTGGAAGGCAAACTGCCTATATACTGGGAGAGCCAATGCCGGTGCGGCCGTCTCTTCTAGCCCGTGAGGCAACTGAACCTTCTTCTCCTTGTTTTGGGTTTAGACCAAATAAAAGGAGGAAAATAGAAAGAGTGAACATATAATCAAAGAAACAAAGGACGATAATGCGAAGTGCTGTGCGCAAGGAGGGAATGGACGGGCGATTTGTGCGTCCTTGCATCTTCCAGCCCACAAAATGTACATTATAAGAAAATATACTCAAGAAAAACATCAAGAAAACATCAAACAGCTTAGAGTCACACGAAAAAAACACATATCCACGTAAGAAAAAGGAAAATTGCATGAGGCAGCAGCAGCGCATCCAGTATATACGCAGGTCAAGTAGTACATACCCGTGCGGTGAATAAGAGATTTATCTGAGTCGTATTTCAAAGCAGATCCTCTAATTACAACTAAAGCTTCTACTGCAACGGCTTGAAGCAACGGATACAACAAGCAGATCAGAAACAGCGAGCGGCATCCAGCCACCCACCGGCGGCGTTGCGGAGTCTGGAAGGTCTGGGTGTCTCACAATTCCTTTCGCCTCATTTCAAAAACATCTAAAGTATTTGGTTTTTTTATTGATTTCGATAGACTAAATAGGACAACGGGGCTTTTTTTATATCTTGCAGTTCGCTGCCTAGCAGGCGACGCACTGCATGCGAATCCTCTCTGGTAATAGAGGGCCTGCCTCAGCGGCTCATACACATTTCAGATTCTTCTGCACCTGTAAAACCACTCTCTTAGATTAGGGTTCAGATGATGACCCAAAAGAGGACTTCTCCAGCAGCTTGAATGGCACACTCGTTGCAGCGTTACCGTTACAAGTGAAGTAATGGCTTCCCGAGAGTTGCAGTGTAGTTCGAAGAGAATAGTGTTTTCACAAGCAACTTACCTCTACTGCACTCACCCGATTTCCTGTACAGAACAGCACAACGGCCTGGGGCTGTGAGCAGAGGAGGCCAGCTGCCGTGAGCTGTAGCCTTTCGACGGTGACGCGTGCTGCACGGCATCTCCACATGTAGGCGTTCCAAAGCCCTTTTTGATGCATGCACTAGTACTGTAGGAAAGGCTTGAACATGGCCATCTAGAGCCATCCCGTAGACGAGAGTGTAGATGCATGCCAACCTCAGACACACCGTTTCACACGGGGAGGTGGACATTTGGTGATTGTTTTGATTATTATATGTAAGAAAAGTCTAAAGTAAAGCCATAAAAACTGAATTTACTCCGTTCACGTGTTACAGGGTGCACGGATTGCGGTAGTACGAGGTAGGTGTTAGGAGATCCCGTGCGTCCAGAGAGCAACTGGCGGTTTGGCCTTTGTTTTTTGTATAGTAGAATATGAATGGATTATTGAAACCCACCTTGAATTGTCGACTTGCTGCGATAGCATTATTTCAACCGTCGTATCACTAGCAAGGGTTGTTCGTGAATGATTGCGTGAAGGCAGGGGAAGTGAGTACTGTGTAACATATCAGCTGGCTAATGACGCTGTAAACGCTTCCCTTCTCGCCTTTTGTGCAAACGTTCTCTTGGTCCTTCATTAGCATATCTTGTAGAGAGGAGGCGATGGAGTTGGATTTTGGTGTGGAACCAAAAGCGCGTATGAAGCGTTCAGTGGGTTCCCTGATGGGCGTCAAGTACTTGGTATAGAATGTTCCTGAGAGCTCTATATTCAGCTGTCTCATCTTCCGCTGCACCTCGGATTGACACGAGGTCAATTCACTTAGAATCGCAGTGATGGCAAGAACATCGCAACAGAGTGCATGGATTTTGGAAACATTCATGACACAGCCAGTGCTCCACCGCGGCTGGGACGCCGTTTACTCTCTTCCATACCATACAAAATTCAAAAGTTGCTGGAACCGCTGATAGGAGGCTTCCCTCATTGCCTTCGAAAAATGCAGCTGCATTGCAGTTCTCGAGCACGCCTCCACATAACAGCAAATAATGGTGGGTTGAAGAGATGGCCCATTCTCAGTTGCAGCAAACCTCGCTGTTACAACTCCTGTTGCAAGGCATACCCGCATGGGGGAGCGTCTGAAAACGTTCGGTGCACTCTGTAACGCCCCAAAGAACTGTTCAGCAGTTGTCAATCGATAGGCACATAACGCACTTGTTATAGAAGCCAATGTATCATCTTCAGACCAACTATGCCGCTCAACTCCTGTGTCTAGGCATCCTGAGCCTAGAAACACGGCCGGTTACTTGCATGGACAGCATCGTCTCCCACATTGTTGAGACCACTGCAGGAACTCCATCGCTGTATTGCTTCGACTGGCCAGCGTACAGATAAGCATGAATGCATGCATATTCGGAAATAAGCACCTTGTACACTGCATCTATGCAGAATGTACCACACGAAACACGTCTAAATATTGCATTTATTCGCGTCTAGGTTCTACGCCAGCTGTTGATTAGAGCCTGCGTATAGCTGCGACTTCAATACCACCGCACGTACTGCAACACCTGTATAATTACCATTAACTTCAATGCTACTGGTGTCAGTACTTTTTAAGGATTTTGTAGGATAGTGGAAATCCAGTACAAGACTCTAAATAGGGGAGTCCACGGTGGCACATTACCGCAGTATTTAGTGACTTCGTTACTGTGCCACCGTGAGCTCCCCTAAAAGCAGCTGCTGTTGGGATGTCAAGTCTGCTGAAGAAGGAAGACATGAATGTTCTGTAAGCTAGTAATGGGGTAATTCCTCCATATTCCTCTGTAACAACAGACGAAGTTGGCCGCACGGTAAGCCCGTGAGGCCACTGCATGCATTCAGTCTGCAGCCCCGAGCGGAGCAATTGTCGATCTGGATTTCAGAAATTCCCAGGATCCTCGCAACCATTGAATTGCAAAAGCAATTTATACGTATGATTGTGGGAAAATGGTATCTGAGAAATTATCCGTTTGAGTAAAACGCTGGCGCACTCGTTGCTATCCTGCGTAGGCTAGATCGCTTTAATTTCTACCGTCCAGAGAACAATGGAGTACGAAGTTTACCTTGCAACGAACATTGTAGGTGAGTTGTATTTATTTAGCAACCTTCTTATAGTGGCTCATTGTGGATTTTAGGGTGTGCAAACATGGTACACGTGGGGGACACTGAGCGTTTTGTTCCTGAACTCTGCCTTGTCTTTGTCTTCATAAGCTATCCTTTCTTTTGAATACTTTGCCCTTGCCTTCATAAACTATGATTTGTTTTGAACACTTGTCGTGTATTTCGTTGGTGGATGCCAACGAATATGGCATGCTGGACATGAAGGACAGATGGTACTACTGGGTTTTGTTTTTCTGCTGCACAGGGGTTATTGTGCTGCTCCTGATCTTCCTCCTTGGATACGCTGAAAGCGCTGAGCAACACTGAAGAGGTGAAAGGAGAAAATAATATTTTTTAATCGACAAATCGCGGGAACAGCCTCTCCCGCCAGGGTTCCCTCTCTGCCTTTCCCTCAGACACTCTGCTAGTCTGACTTTCTTTCTGTTTACTCTTTCTTCTTTATTTCTTCTCCACGGATATGTCGAGCTTTGATACGGCAGTTCGAGGTGCTCTGCGCTTTAAGCGCAACAGCGAGGCGCTTGTGGCGGACGACAAGCGACGGAAGAAGAAGAAAAAGAACAAAGCCAGCAAGGACGAAGACGCTGGGGGACCAGCAGTAGCTGATCTCCCCCCAGAACTTGCAAATGATCCTGAGGCAATTGCTGCAGCAGCAGCTGTTCGAGAGGGTAAGCAGCAGCCAGGCGTTTTGTTGAACTCCGGCTCAAACAAATCCTCAGCAGGGGACGAGTCCCCTGCTGGAGTGTCTCAAGACGGAGGAGCTGGATCTGTAGAGACGCCCGATAAAGAAGTACATGGGAAGGAAAGGAAAGAAAACGAAGAAGACGATGCAGAAAAGGATGCAGATAGCCGCAGTCGCAGCGGAGAAGCCTCCAGAGCATCGGCATCCCGTCAGTATTTGTCCCTTTTTTTCGATCCCCTCCGTGTTTCAACCTGCACAGGGCTTCCAATACCACATTACTGAGCAGCTTTTCGAGTGTTTGCCTTCTCCAGTGCATAGTACACTCGGTGCATTTGCATGTGTATCCTTTTGTTGCTGCTCATTAAGAAGACTTTGCAGACAGTGTGTTCGTAATTTGCCTTTTCTGCAAGGGTTTGGGGATGCGTTGCTGCTGTTGTCGTTCCTTCTGCAGCAGCGGACGTGGAGGCGCTGCTGGCAGAGGTAAATCCTAAGTGGACCCGGGCTCAGAAGGCATTTTATTTGGCGCGAAAGGCGAGAGAGGCAGAGAGAATTAAGAAGCAGCTGCAGCTGACTCACAGACAGCGAATGGAGAAATTCAACAAACACTTGGCCTCCCTATCGGAACGTAAGTCATCGGTCTTTGCTTGTCCTAGCTTCCAGCGCTTACGTTCCTCCCACTACAGGACTATGCATGCTTAATGTGTATGCATGCTCAATTATATATTGGCTTTTATGAGTGGAGTTTAGATTGCTGCAGCACGATTGCACACAGCAGTGCGGTCGGGGGGGAAGGTCATCTGCAGCAGGAGCGGGACGCACACTATGCCGGCTTGCCGCACAATGCATGTGTGTGATTTCCCCATGTATGCGCTGCTTCTGTTGTTGGCTGTTGCTGTTCTCTTATTCAGACTTCGACCAACCCCGTGTGGGCCCGGGGTGATGGTTCGTTGGCGTCCACCGATCTTGTGGAGCGCTGCCTGTGCTGAGCAAACGATGCGCTTTTCCAGGGGCTCCCATTTGCGCCTGCCACGGCAGGCACCCCTGAGTGTATTTAAACCAGTTTGCTGCCAGACATTCCACTGCTGGTGGCACTGTGGGGTGCTGAAGGCGTGTGTTATGTGTTTTTTGTTTGAGCCGTCGTAGTTGCCCTGGTCGACCCAACCAGATATCAGGAACATACTTGCTACCACCGGGCGTCATTATGATATATGTACTCTTCAATACATATACTAAAGGAAAACCTTTTCAATATTCATATCTCTACACCGGGTATGGACCCAAACTGCCCCACGACGTAGTTACAGCCGCCCTTAACTGGAGCTTATGCAAATACTTACAAATATTTTCTTCCAGCTTTCCAGCACCGGGCAGGTGTCTCTGAACTTAAAGTTCAGAAAAGCTTAAGTTTAGGTTTCCAGGGGAAAAGCAGCATGCGGGCTGTGCCGGCCCTGAGGAATTTCTTCTGACTGGCCAAACGGCCACCTCAGGGAGACGGCCTCAAGCTGAGCTTCAGATCGGAAGTGTTTAGGAAGCAGCAGCAGCAGCTATATTAGCGAACTGCTGCTGTCGTTACGATCATCACTAAGGCTGTTCAAGTTCCACCATTGAGGTGCAGGAGGGAGGGTTCCGAGACCATAGAGGGGTCTTCCTTTGGAGCCCTTCCTCCGGCAATTCCGCAAAAGGAAATTCCAGAGAAGAATATATCCATATTCCCTCCAGTCGATACTCAATTCCTTACCTGCTGGGTGTAAGGCCATTTGCCTCCCTTTCTCGTTACTGCCCACCAACCACCGTTGCTTCATAAGGAATATGTGCATGCACGCATATTCCACAAGCAGCTCGTGCATCCATGAGCTCATTACGAACAAGTAAAGGGGCGCTTGGGGGCCTCGAACCCCTTGGGTTGACAATGTTCGTCTCACGCAAGCCAATCAATCGGAGGCGAAGGGGTTTGTGTTCGACGCCTGGAGTCGATTTGCGTCGTTAAGGTTTCCTATTGACGTAGTTGCTGCGAGTTGTTGGTGACTCTCTCCCTTTGTGACGGGCTGCCTTGGGGTTTGCTGCTGTGAGTCATGCTCTGACGGGCTAGGCGGGCGCGATGCTTGCGAAGTTGTTCTTTTCATAGGCTCGGCTGGACTGGTGCTTCGCGGGCTGTTGGCCTGTTGCAGCCTGTCTGACTTGCTGGTTACAGACTGCTGCTGCACCAGCTGCTGCGAGCATTGTCCAGGGTGCGCAAGAGGAGAGAGGTATTGAGTCTCTTCCAGCAAACGAATGGAGGCCCGCACAGCCGCCACGTCCACTCCGGAACCGGCCAAGAAGAGAATCATCGCTTCCACAGCCTGCGCACGGTGAACCCATACCAAGGCACTCAACATTCACAGCCTCCCCATGACAGAAAGTTACCTCTTAAGAAGGAAGTCATTTGTTCAGGAAACGTACACACCCGGATGCAAGGACACGACTAACGATGAAACAACGATTAAGACTCCTAATGGTTATTGTTGCACACTGTGATTCATCCGTAAGCGCAAAGAGCAAGAAGCCCATGAAAAAAACGACAGAAAAAAAAAACGATGATGCGCATGAGGGTCACGTATTACTATTATGTGATGGATTCGAATGAGCATGAGGGAGAAACAAAAAGAAATATGCTGCTTTCTTATTACTGACCCGTGCAACTTGCATGGCGGCTTCTGGGGCACTGCCGTTCATTGTTTGTTGCATCTCTCTCCTGCAGCAGCCAACATTCGTCTTTATTAATGACATAATTATGCAATCGGTATTCTAGATGGTTATCAAATCAAAACAGCATTTTCGGCTGCAGTGAAAGTGCAGGGAAATTCGTTCGCACGCAAGTTCTGCCTCGGCCATTTGTAGACGATTGCGCGCCACTTGCACTTCATCTTCGGCCTGTCAGAATCAGAGCACACCACAAAACACACAAAGGTTTGTTTTCATTTCAGCTTTCTCAGGGCACTAATAGCGTGTTAAACAGGAAGAGGTCGCACATGCAAATGTGACTGCTCCCAACTTGTGTAGATGGCAGGTTGTGTCTCACGGACATTTTTCACCTTCTGGGCAGCCTGCGGGTCCTTCCCGCTTTCTGCCTTCTGTTGCAGCTTTCTTAAACCCTGAGGCAGAAACGTTCGGTGTAGTTGTGATTTTTTATGGAAAACGAAAAACGACGGCCAGGCATTCCATGGTGCACTGGTTCCGCGGTGCTTCTGCAGAGCTGTCAGTCGCCCTTGATAACCACTAATGAAGTTCACAATATAAAAAAGAGTTTTCTCAACCGCGCAAAAATTTATGACAACGGAGTAGTCCATGGTGCTGCAGCTCCTCACCGCTTCTTTCTTTAGTAGCTTCTTTTCTGCATCCTTCTTGATCCGGCTCGCCTTCTGCAGGATAGATCAGCAGAAAAGTATCAAGCAACCGGCAAAACACGCAGACGGAAGTATGCGGAGAAGCGTAAGCTTGGTGTCCGGTGAGGAAACTGCTAACATTTGGAGTGCAGGAGTGGAGGGGGGTTGGTATGAATGAAAGGCAATATGCCAAACACAACAGAATGGTACGAATGTGCTTGTGCTGCTTTTATGTAATGGTTATTATACCTCAACCTTAGCTATCGACTTTGCAGCATCTGTATTTGCCTTCTTGATCAGTTCCAGTTGCGGCTTCTGTACGTCGTCACACAACCCACATCATCGCAGTCCGGATTACAACACGCGAAAGACTCTTCTGTTGGAACAGCCGAAATACTGTTCTGTTGGAGCAGTTTAAATATTCTTACGCTGGAACGCATTAAGTGCACTTATAATGCTTCTGATTTATGTAATCTTATGCTGCAGCCATAAATCCGCTGCAGTTGCAACAAAATGCAATATACGTCTGAAGGCATGCCTACTCTAGTGAATTCTGCTTACTACCGACGTAGAAATTGTCCTCAATGAGTCCTGAGGAAGTCGAAAAAGGCACAAGAGGAAGCGAGCTGCGCATGATTAGGCTGTACTCCTGTCAATACCCACGATCTAAAATCAGTTACACATTTTTTGGGCATTCATTGTCTAACATTCACCGGCTAAAGTGATGTTAACGTCATTACTGCTCACCAAAGCGGAGGTTATTTCTTCAACTGGCCTCTGGTAGGCTGGCTTGTCGTAGAAGTACCCGGTGATCCCACTCCGCAGTGACTTCCCGCTCCTGTCCCAATCTGTACAAAACATCACGCGGGGTTTGTTTGCACACGCTTGTCTGTGACCTTCAGGAGAATTGTGTGCATGAATTACGATGTGTGAAACTGCAGCGAACGTTATTGTGGTGCTGCAAACGCCTAAGATTGCTGTTGCTGGTGCAGGCGTACACCTCAGGCACTTCTGAATGCTGCGGACGAACTGGTCGATGGCCTTGAGGGCATTCCGCTGGCGACGCAACTCCGCTTCCAGAGGAGTCTTTCCGTGCTTGGAGCACTGCAAGGATAAAAAGGAACAGACCACCATCACCCGCCAATGACTGTTCTTTCTGGTTTTTTTACCCAATCAAAACGCAAATGTATCTGTTGCAGTGCGTTGGACAGCCAGGCAATCCGGCGACCTTCCTGCGTATTTTCACTGGCACTTGAGTGGTTATAAATTCGTATAGGTGAACAAAAGCCAAAATACAGGGAAAAAATGCATCAGGTTGAACCGGCTAGTGCGCCAGACACACCAGTCGGCCCAGAAACCCGAACATAATAGTCGTTTGAAATCGGACTCTGCCTTCCCTTGATTTTTTCAGTTATGGAAATAATTTCAACTTGCTATGCTTTTGCAAGGCCGATGAATGCCACCTTCGTGTGCCAGTCGGATGAGGAAGAAAGTGGCTGCTAGCACAACCAGAAGGCTTCCTTCTGCTGTATGCTCAGCAACGTCGCCTTCATGTCTCGCCCTTCAGACTTATTAATTATATTGAACATTAAATATAGGCGAAGTAGAAGCACTGCTCATCGAATGGAAAGGAAACGCATCACTGGCAGCCGCTGAGTCCCGAGTCGGTGGCAGTGGTGGAAGATCGCGATCGCATGCAAGCTAGACCCGACTTTTCCTCTCCACCAAATAATATAGAATATACCAAAATTCAATTAATTTAGTCCTAACCTTTTAATATTTTTGTTCCAACTAGACCCGAGGACGCTGCCCCTTCCTCCAGCGCCATCCCTAACTAGTGTTGCATCCACAGCGCATGTGCAGCGCCGTGTGGCAGGTTGAGTTTTGCGGTCATTTTAAGCGAACTTTGCGCAAATTTGAGTACACTTGTCGAATTTAATCGTCATAACAGGGGAGTAGCGGTTGCCTTGACTTGCTGTTCTATGCATCTCTTTGGAATGGGAGAGCTGCAGCAGGCCGCGTTATACCTTTCGCATTTGTTGTAGATTATATTTGCGGTTCAGTTAGTCGCGCTGACACCATGATTACCTCCTTCTTACGCAGACACCCGTTAAGCATGTAATTCAGTAAAACCCCGAGCTATGCTGAAAAGCGTGCATTTAGTACAATTGGATCACCTTGAACATGGACGCCTGAGGGCTTGAGGGCTACGGATGGGATTTTACAGGATAAGGGAATGCTTCAAACTTGCGTCTCAAAGGATAGGCTCTGCCTTGTTCTATCACCAGGTTGTTGTGAGTTGTAGGAGCCGGTTGTGAACTACCTTCTTAAGGTACGGAAGGTGGAAAATTTTCAAGTCCGCCGCCCTTAATGAAGGAAAAGAAGACACTACGTATGCCGTGAGAGATGACCCTGACACATAACACGACAAATAGGCACATACAAAATCAGTGTTAAACCCGTGTGAAGCCAAGTGCTAATGTATGTGGTTTGTAGTGTGGCAGAAACGGTAGTTTTCGGTATCAGCTAAGGACATTGGTGAGCTGCATTCGAGTCAAAAGTCTGTATTAAAGAGTGCTCCTCAAGAACCTACTTCGACCACCTTGAGTTGCAGCACTCCTTGCTGCACAATCTTCCATTGCAAAGTAACTACAACAGTGTTAGCACCTTCTTTATGCATACACTGTGGGCGCGGGCAGTTGCTAGACATAGCATTGGCCCTCTGTGCAGACAGGTAGGCAGTAATGCGCACGACACCAAATCAGGCAGACCATGTACGAGATGATGGTGATGTTCAGCTCTATGCAGCAAACAAAACGGATTTGAAGTATATGCTTAGTCACCTTTAAACCTAAGGCACCAGTCTACGTTAGTGCGCGCCCTTCTGCCACCAAACGCAGAAACTGCATCCACAGTTTAAGACAGAAGCAACACCCTTGGGAAAGGGGAATTCAGCAAGTGGGGATCTGCTCAGACCTGCAAACCTGCAGGGAGGAGAATTTGCAACAGAGCAAAGGATCCAAGCAACGTGAATTCCAGCAGCGCAGGAGGTCGTTGGAGCTCACGCTAGTTGATACACGTCTGTTTGAAGCAACCCAGAAAAGGGTCTGCAACACCCCTTCAAGCGTCTATATTGCCCGTCTGTTAGTGGGTAATGCAGGCCTAATTAAAGGCTAACTGCTGAGAAAGGAATACGTGTATACACCGAAAAGCGTTCTACTCATGCCTGAAAGCATGCACATTGTGCTGCTTCTCGGCTGGAGATACTGCAGCAGATGTTGCAATTTAGAACATCCTGGCTATGCGTTGCTGCAATCAGAACCCGTGGAATTTGCGCGAGAACAGCCCAGATGCGAGTTGCACAACTACTGTCCTACTTGTTTTGAAAATTCCGCAACTTCTGGCCATGGCCACGGTTTTTCAGTCCTCAACTCTGTTATTGACCCGTTAGTTCAATATGCCATGAACTACTTAGTCTAGTCATGAAAAGTGTACGAGAAGCCCCTGCCTCTGCCGTCTTTATTAGACTGTGTAGTGGACCCGACAGTGAAAACAATGGTGAGCAAGTGGAGGAAGCCTGGGGCGAAGTCCTTAATTACCAGAATATTGTCAGTTATTTAGTTCAGTCTATTGTTATCAACTTCATAGTTCAGTGTCCTGTTCTTAACTCCTCTATACAACCCTACCAACAACTTCTTTATTCCTGTATCTTGATGCTAAATCACTTCATTACCTCATCATGAACTACTTAGTTAATATATATAGAAACAACAAATGTTTATCAGCAGCCCTAGAAATCTGCCGCCTCGCATGCAACAGGCAAACGCAACTAAACAAAGGCGATGTACCAACATCAAGACAGAGAACTAAACAGCAACAACGGCACAATACACACACACACACACACACACACACACACAAACGCACAAACAACTTCATTCCAACACCAAAAAAACAATAAAAATAGCGACACCAAGACAAATAACCAAGCACCGAATCCAATAGGAAGCATAAACCCGAAGTTTAAGCACCAACCACACCAAGCCTTGTCTCTTTAGTACCGGCGAACTTGTTGGCAACGACTACAAAAAGGGGGTCTTGAGGGATTTTAAGCCATCTCTGACTATCAATGAAAATCACAACGCCTCTCTTCTGCATCAAAACTCCAGCTTCAGCACTCCTTAGACCTCACGCAACAACTCAAGCACAGTTTGGAATACTCCGCGGTGAACAACGGCAAACTTGCTGTACAGCATAAAGAATTGTTTTCATCACGTGAGCAGTAAACAAATTTGCGTTTTGTGCAAGTTGTTGCTGTTTCGAACAACAACAAGACCTCCGTGTACCTGACAGGTAACGGAAGGATCGAAACCGACAGCCCCAGCGGGCAATATCGGTCAGAGGCATTGGCTCGCATATTGCTACGCAGAAGCTCAATACATATTATGTTCTTTATTCGCTTTTAATTCCTTGTAGTATATTGTCCTTTCGTATTAACGGAAGTGCCGTGCTCTCTAATGATGCTAATGCAGCAACAGCATAGGCTCACTTGGGGGGAGAGGGTTTCAGACCTTAAATTCTGCCCAGAAGAAACATTTGAGCACTTCTCCTTCACACATTGTCACTTCACCTGGTAACGCTTGAACTCAGATACACCCGCTTCGTCTTGTCCAGCTGCTCAGCTTATTCATTGGCAACAGCTGCAGGTGTGGAAAAGCGGCAGCAACTGCAGCGGCAACAGCGGCACATCCAGCAGCAGCAGCAAGCGAGGGAGCAGAAGCAGGAGCAAACGGAGGAGGGGGAGCAGCAGAGTGAGACCCTTGCTGCTGCCCACTTGCCCAGAAGTGTCTCCAGTGGGTAACCTCTAGAGGAGGTTTGCTAGATTCCACAATTCGTGCTTCCTTTGGGACTTCTACAGTGGTGGGGGTGCAGCAGCAACTGCTGCGGCAGCTGCAGCTGCAGCAGCTGCTGCAGTTGTTGCATCAAATTCTTCAGGAACGCCTGCACCATCCGCAGACTTCCACCGGATCTTGCTTTCTTCTTTGCGGTGTTCGGCCAGCCAACAGCGCCTCCACGACGCATCAGGGTTTAGGATCTAGGATTGTGTCTCTACGATGGGTCAATTGAGGCCGCGCGACCGGCTTCTGAAGTCAGCTATTGCTGCAGAAACTCGTCTCCGGTACAAAGGGCGGCGCATGCACAAGCGATTCCGCAGTTGGTCGCAGCACAGGTAGGAGTCTTCCCAGATAGCTAGTCTGCAGCGTTGGTGTTAATTGCCTGTCTGTCAGTGCCGCTTCAGTGGGAAAAGGAATCCTATCCGAGTGCGTTTGACGTGCAGGAATTTGCCGCTCTAGCTGACTATTTAGATCTTTTCACTAAGTGCCTAGATAACTGTTAACGTCCCCCACTGACTCTTGATAGATAGCTTTTTGCACCGGGTAGCTAGCTGCACTCGCTATCAGTCTACCTGCACAGCTATAAGCTGTCATTGAGGGTGTGCTGCATTTTGTTTTCTTCAGAGTACGCCAGTACTGGTTGCCTCAGAGAGTCTCCCTTCACGCAGACACGGCAGATATGAGCCCAGCCTACCTCGCCGCCGCTGTACAGAAAGCAGCAACTCTGCGCAAACACGACGTGGCACTCTGGTGAGGGCTTAGAGTGTAGTGATTCGGTTCTGGTGTGTGTACTACTTAAAAGATTTAACGTTTACGGTCTAGGCAAGGGTGAGGGCTTCGGACTCGCGGCTGCCAGCACTTGATTTGCCTCTAATCCAAGTGGGTGACTACTAGGCCACGTTACGGTTTACTGTTTAGGGTATGCCCTTAGGTTCAACTTCTCACGGCGAGCGCAGCAAGTTGCGGACACCTGCACCCCCCAACAGCTTGGATACCTCTTTTATGGGTGAGGGTCTAGGATCCAGGATTTACGGCTTGGTTTTGGGGATCGCTACATGCATCGTTTGGCCAGCGCTGACACACCGAGCTTGTCTCAAGGGTTTAGTGACTTACTCTGCGTCTCTTCACCATGCGCATGGGTTCAGGGTTCAGCGTTTAGGGTTTAAGGCTTCCGTTTGGGAGCCGAAGCTCACTGCCGTTTGTCCGTGTCTTTGTTTAGCTGTGCTTGCCAGACGTGTTGTCTATTTTCTGCCTGTCTGCGTGTTCTGTCCTTGCCGTCGTGGGTTAATATGTGTATGCTTGCTTGGAGGTGGTTTTTCTTCCCTACTTTGCATCTTGTTCACTGTTTGCTGTTTCTGCATGCATGCGCCACAGCTTCGGCAAAGCCAGGTTCCTAGACCCACCTCTGTACGCCTGTCTCCTTCGCTACGCCGTTTCATCCCTCGAGGATTTCGCTTCTCACTCCCTCATGACTGTCCCTTGGGCTCTCAGCAGAGTGGCCATTAGAGAAGTGTCCGCTCTTACAGAAGTAAGGGCGTGACGGCTCTACCGGCATAGGGCTTATTCGTTTCCACGATCACTATCTTGCGGCCTCTACGGTTCTCGGTTTGGGGTTGGGGCGTTGGCGTTGAGAGATTAGGCATGAGGCTTTAGTATTTAAGGCTTGGGGGTCACCTTAGGCCGATAGTTCAGTTGGATAGAATGCCCGGCTACGGACCGGGTGGTCGTGGGTTCGAATCCTGCTCGGCCTAGTTTTCGTGTTCAACACAGACACAACCAACATCAGGTTGGTGGATTTCTTCAGCCTTTTCCCCATCGTGTTGCATTAGTCGTTGCAGGGTGTATTCACAGGTGGGACAGGAGACAGTGTTGAAGGCCGCACACATGAGACCAGGCGACCTCATAAAAGTGGCAGTGGGCCTCGCAAAGTTGGTGAGGCTCTCGTAATGCCTTTTGTTGTCGCCTGAGCAGAAGCAGGAGTGTTCTTTTGCGGCCGTTTGGTGCTGCAAGTTTGTCTCCTCCTTGGCAGCTGTATGCCTGGCGTTGTGCTTTACAGCTTCGCTCTTGCCTCCTTCCACACTTTGCACGCGCGCCAAGTGTATCTGTCTTCTGCTCGTCTCTTCAGGGTGTTTGTCCTCCTTCGCTGCGAGAGCGACTGAGCTCTGTGCTGTTGCCAGCTCTTAAAGATGCCTCTGCTCTGGATTTTCGGAATAGCATGCATCCTCTTGCTGTCATTGGGCTGTACACGCAACCCCTGCAGACTTTTGTCATGGAGCGGTTTTCAAAGTATGCTGCAATGCATCAGGACTGGTGTTTAGAGAGAAGGGAGGGTTTATTGCCTTGGTATTTTATTAGTGGGGTTTACTCTGTAGCTACCAGGTTGTGTTTGGCAGTCCACACACCAGAGAATTGAATCAAGCACTTTTATGGCCGCGCGTGCTGATATTCTTGCCGGTAATGGGGATTCTGCTACTGCTGGATATGGTGCTGCTGCCTGCTTGTGCTGCTGCTTGAGGAATCATGCTGCTACTACTGCTGTTTGGGCAGTATTGTTGCCGCTGCCTGAGCTGTGTGCTTCCTGCTGTTGGGTATGTTGCTGCTTCTGCTTGAGGCGCATCGGCTCTACTGCTGCTCGCGCTGTTCCCCGAGGCGTGTTGCTGCTGCTTCTTCAGGATATTCATTTGTGCCCGTCCCCCTCATTTGGAGAAGGCACTTCAGACGGCTGTAGCCCTTCGAGTTCTTCATCCGGAGACTTGGGCCGCTGTCCCGCGCAAAGTTAGACAATTTTATGCGAGACTCAGGCACGGCATACTCTCCGCAGAATAGGGTTTGGGGTTTGGGGTTAAGCCGTTGATCCATATCCCTCCATCTACAGGAGCGAAGTAAACAGCAGTCCTCATGCTGTTCACTGCTCTCATGTACACGGATCTTGGAAGCATGCTCTAATGCCATACAGCAACGCTCCTTCGCTGGTAGAAGCTGCAGCACCTGTTGGTTCTGCTGGTGCTGAGGATTGTGCTGCTGCTGTTAGTTTTTCCTGTACTTGCTGTCCCCCCTGCTGCTACGCTGCTGCAGCCTGCGCCGAATTCTCCATCCGATTCGACGTCCGTCTCCGCTTCACTGGGAGGTATCGGACTGTCTGGCTGCTCTTGGAATCGCTCACCGCAATACCTTTCAGTGAGAAGCCGCTGCTGCTGTTACTGCTGCTCATGCTGCTGTTGCCCATGGTACCGGGTGTGCTGCTGCCGTTACCGCTTGATTTTGCCGGCTTGGGCTGGTGTTTGTGAAGTTCCTGCTGCATTTTGCATGCATTGCGCTTACTGCTGCTGCTGTCGTCTCCTGATGTTAGCTGGGGCTGTTTCTGGATTGACATTGGAGAGGCAGGTGACAGAAGACGGTGTATCTTCGTAGACGGACCCGCAGCGTTCTACACCAACTCAACGCAGTACACAGAGGCAGTTAAACTCCAGCACAGGTACCTGGTGTTGCTGCTGCTGAGAGCTTTTAACGTAGTTAGCCTACAGTTTAATCTGGTCCAGATGAAATCCCATAAACTAGACCCTCTCATCACCGCTGTCATTTGCTTATATTATTCTTATTCATATTTTCGTTAGCCGCGGTCCGTTGCTTCCATCATTTGCATATGTTCATTTCCTTTGTGTTGTTGTTTGCTTGTGCTCCTTTCTGTCCCTGTTTTCTGTGCGTTTCCGTTTGCTTCGACTATCCCGTATTTGTTTGCTGTGAATAAAACTGCTTCTTCTGTAGAGTTTTGAGCGACCTCGGCTGGGAGGTGCGGAGGGTGCTGTGGTTTGACTGGGTCGGCCTTGAGGGCAAGCAGCAGAAGATTGAGTTCTTGCGGTACTTTGCTGCTGTCATTGCTACTGCCACTGCCGCTGCTACTGTTTTGGTTCTTGATGTAGTGAAAAACTGGGGGTGTGGGATTCTATGCATCCAGTTCTTTTAGAGTACATAGAGCACACGCCGGTGCTACCGTAGGTGCTACTGCGGAGCGGTAGATCTAGAAACAGCAGCAGCAAACACACCTGTGTGTGGGGTTTGTTGCAGCAAGCTGCGTGCCTCCCCAGCCCTCCCCTCTTTCTTGCCAGATCCTCTTCCTGGGTTGACAGCACAGGAAGTCCAGCAGCGGTTGCATCTGGTCAAGCAGCGACAGCGGGAGCAGCAGGAAGCAGCAGCAGCAGCAGTTGGGGACTCTACTGTCGACCTGGACTTGTGAGCATTCAGCAAATCCCTAGCAGCAGTGCAAACTGCCTTACTTCAGGGGCTGCTGTATGTGTTTAGTGAAGCACCATCTGCCAAACCTGCGGCAGGTGGTGCTTCTTTCAAAGCAGCGGCTGTTGCAGCCGCAGCTGCTGAAAGTGCAGCGACAGCTGCTCCAGAAACTATCATATGTTAAGGTTATTGGAGAAGCGCTCCACACGAAAGCACCAGTGGCAGCGACACCTGCAGGAAGATGCTGTTGCTTAGCTGTTGCTGCTGCACCATTGGATTGCCATGCATGAGATTACTGAGGGCCAGGTTGTGTAGGCCTCTCACTGTGTCTCTGATTTTGCCACTCTCCTTTCTTCTGGTTTGTCTCTCTGTTTCCGCCTGTGGGGCCGTCTGCCTGCATCGCCCTTCGGGCGTTCCTTCCCGTCTCTGTTTTGCGTTTTTGTGTTTGTTCCGAATGCCCCCTGCGTCCCTTTGTATTTCTGCTTACATCTCTACTTCCCTCTGTCTCTGTTCGTGCCCGTCTGACTCGCGTGTTGCCTAGCAAATGGTACTAATGCTGCTCGGAGCCTGCCGCTCCATGGTGTACAGACACTACAGCTAGCGAGTAACAGAGACACCGGAGTGTAGCATTTAAACAAAATAAGTACCGCCACAGCTACAAAAAGTCATCCAGATTGTCCTCCTCCTCCTCTTGGGGCTGCGGCTGCAGATGCTGCTGCAGCTGCTGCTGCTCACTCAAAGACAGCTGAAGCTGCAACGGTGCCCGTGCTGCTGCAGCACCAGGCGTCAGAGGGGCAGCTGTAGCACCAGCAGCCCCGCCAGCAGCAGCACTGCCGGCAGCAGCAGTTCCATCTGCTGACGCGCCTGTTGGCCAGGCTGCTGCCGCAGGCTGCTGCTGCTGCACTGCCTGCTGCAGCGGCTGCTGCTGAAGCGTCTGCATCATTTGAGGGTGCGGAATTTGCTGCTGCTGTTGGATTTGCTGTTGCTGTATTTGCTGCTGCTGCACTTGTTGTTGCTGTGGCATTTGCTGTTGATAATGCTGTTGCTGGGCCTTTATGTGTGCCACATCATGCTGCTGGGGCGGTGGAAACAGCAACTGCTGTGCTGCTTGGGTGTGCTGCTGTGGCATTTGCGCCTGCTGCTGCAGTGGCTGCACTGTTTGGTGTTGCAGCTGCTGCTGTTGCCATGTATGTGGCTGCTGCTGCGATATCGGGGCTGGCGCTGCCAGTGGTGGCTCCTGCTGTTGTTGCTGCTGATGCTGTTGGTCCTCCACTGCAGACATACCTGCATGGAGGGACGGTTGCTGCTCTTGTAGAGGCGTTACGTCTCCCTTCGCCTCCAGAGCAGCAATGAAAGCGCTTGTGTCTGTTGCTGCTGCTAGCCCTGTGGCAGCCCCAGCAGCAGCAGCGTCCATGAAGGCCAGCTGCTTCTCTAAGCCGTGCTGCTGCTGGTGGTAGTGCACAGCAGCTTCCGACAGGAAGCAGCAGCAGCACCCGCTGTACTTGCAGGAGTACAGGGTCACAGATGCCCCAATCTCTTCAGCGCCTCTGAGGGGCCTGCTGCATCTGCAGTAAACGTAGCAGCACACATGCACACAGAAAGAAGCGCTGCACCAGCATCAGTAGCAGCACAAAGGTGCACACACGAATGCTGACACAGCAGCAAGTGCGGATGCCGCAGCTGCGGCAGCAAGCACAGCAGCAACAAAGAATGCACTAGCAGCAGCACTCCGTACGTACACACGACATTGCCCTGCAGGGATCATCTGTTCCATACAAGATCTGCAAGCCAAGTGGAGGCAAGGGAGCTGCAGAATCAAAGCAACCACAAACCGTAAACCCTCGGGAACCCCATGAAAAACATCTACACAGAACCTTCCTTTCTTCTAGATTTGCTGCTGTTGCTGCATCTGCAAACATTTAACTTTGGATTTAACTTTGGCTACAGGGCCTGGGAGATCAGGAAGCGATGAACGTTTAGGGTTTGCGTGTCTCTGGTAATTTATGTTTGAGGCAATGGAATTCTAGGGGTTAGGATGTATGGGTTTGTGCTCCCCTACTGTTCTGTAAGTCTGAGCCATCGGGAGAGAACATACGCCGCAGAAGAAGGTCTTAGGATCAGTCACATGAACAACCTCGTGCTTCAGCTGCTGTACGCGGGGCCGAACTGCAGTAGCCGAACTAGAGGAGCCCCGCGTTGCTGTCGTTCCTGCTGGTGCTGCTGCTCCTGCAGAGGAGGGAACAGAGGACCCTCTCCAGAAACCCCCGCTGCGTAGCGGCTGCCCAAGCATCGCTGTATGAACACTACAATATCTGAAAATGGCTACTGAGGCTGCTTCTGCTACTGCTGTTGCTGCTTTTGCTGCTGTCCTTGTTGCAATTGCTGGAGAGGGGTTGCCACTCCCGTTGTTGCTTGCTGATATTGTTGCGGATGGAATAAGCCCATTTCAGCGCAACATATGCTCCACACCCTTCTGGAAGCCTAGGTCCTTGTGCTTGTGCCGCAGCAAAGAATAGTATTGCTTATGCATTCAGCTTCTGCTGCTGCATCTGAAATAGTGGACAAAGGGTGGGTGCGCAGCTCCTAAGCAATCGCTCCAATTTGTGAGGCAAAAATAATGAACAGTACTGCATTTATTTCTCCTTTTACGATGAACAGGGCTCCAAGCAAGCTTGCAACGAGCCTGCATGCATCATGCTGTTGTCTGTATTGCTGGGGCTGTTGCTACAACTCAGAAGAGAGGCTGTAGTTATTCTATCCGGAAACATGTCGTAATCAATTTTTTCGTTATATTTAAGAGATTTTCCCCATAATGTTAGACTAGAAGGGGCATTCGTTAGTTGGAAGAAGCCACCGTAGGTGTATCGACACCAGCAGCAGCAAGCGTAAGGCTGTAGTAAGGAATTTACATTAACTGACAACTCCTCAGTGTTTTGGTTTAGAGTAGCGAATAGTGACACAGAAGCGATCTCTTGGCACTGGGTGTATGCGCAGCTCAGGCGATGCTCCGGGGCACGCATGTGGCTGCAGCGATGGCTGCTGCTACCCCTGTTGCAAGTAAGGGAGGGCCCCCAGGTTATTGCGCGACAGCAAGCCGAGTCGCTATGAGGCTTCGGTTGCAACACACTTCTGTTGCAACATCACGAGCTAGCTTCACAGCAGCGTGTGGCTCCCTCCTCAGCAGCAGGAGCAGCAACAGCACTCCTAGAAGTGTACTGCTCTGTTGCAGCTGTTGCAGCAAGTGCGGTAACCAACGTTGGTTTTCCTTTTTGCGGGACCCGCAATCGCTTAAGCGCGTCCTAGCAGAACTGGCCGCTGCTGAGAAGGCAGCTGAGCAGCACAGCAACATTAGCAGCAGTGGCATCGAAGGCGATGAGAAGGCCCTTGCAGATCCCTGCCCCTCTTCTTACGAAGAAAATGAGGAATTCTGCCTCCACAGCAGCTACGCAAGCTGCAATAACGGCAGCAGCATCAGCGATAGTAGCAGCCGCAGCAGGGTCACGGCTAAGTGCAGCAGCCATGATGAAGGCGACAGCGACGAACCTCCACCTGTGCAGGTACGTGCGGAGGTCGTTCTGTCCAGGGAACAGCAAATGATGCTTGATGAAGCGGAAGCTTCCGCAGCCGCCACTGCAGCAGCAGACAGACAGAAACGCTTTTTGGACTCTGTTGCTGCTGCTGAATCAACAGAGGGTGGATTGCGTGGAGCACTGCAGCAGTCTTTCGATGCTCTGCTGCCTCCCAGCGTGACAGCAGCAGCAGCGGCACCAAGACCGTCAGAAGCAGGAGGGCCGCACGCAACTGGAGACGCAGCAGGAGGATCAACTGCTTCAGCAAGAGCATGCGACGCTGGTGGGTTTGTTTGGAACGAAACAGATGAAGCTGCTCTAACACCTGCTCAGCGGTTCTACAGGGACAATCGCGAGCTGCTGTTGCAGAGGGCAGAGCAGTACCTGCGAGGCAAGCAAGCAGCAGCAGCATCAGCAACTGGCGGTGCTTCTGCTGCTGATGAGGAGGAATGGGATGATGCTGCAAGGACGCTTGAAGAGGACTGGAAGGCATACTTTAATCCCGTACACAAACAGCCCAAGGGCTTCAGGTGGCCAGTTGCTGATACAGCAGAATCTTCTGCGGCTGCAGCACCTCCTCTGTAAGCTGTCCTGCTTTGTCCCTGTCTCTGCTTCTGATCCTGCTTCTTCTGCTGGTTGCTTAGCTCTTGAGACTGCTTTCCCCTCTACAACATCAGTAGGAGCACCAGTAGAGTGAACGGTAGCAGCAGCAGTGCATGCATGAGCAGCAACTGCCCTAGCAGCGAGAGCAGCAGTACAGCAGCGCGCATATGCAGCAGCCTGGGCGGCAGCATGCTGACACTGATTCTCTTTACGTGCCTCAGAGACATGGAGTTCCGCAAGGGCCAATATCCATCTTTGGAAGAATTCAAATCTCTTCTTGCTCAGGTAAAACAGCAACCAGCGGCAGCAACTGCGGCAGCAGAAGCCTAAACGACAGTTAGAGCAGCACCCCTTAGTGCCAACTTCTGTTTCCCGAACGAACTCCACGTTGCTGCTGCTGCTGTTGGTATTGTGCTAGGAAGGCGTCAAGGATGTGGTCTGTTTAAATCTGGAGGCGCTCAGTCGAAGAGACTTGGGGCTTGTCGCCCTTATCGGGACATGCGGAACAGCCGCTCACTGCAGGTTTGCTACTGTTGTTGCAGCTGTTGTTGTTGCTGCTTTTGTTGCTGCTACGGGTCGAGAAGATGCATGCAGCCTGATTAGCGCAGCGAGGGTACACGCTGCTTGCATGAACAGAAATGGGCCAATTTGGCAGGTTCGTTTGGATCGGCTTTGGCGTATGTTCGCCCGCTACTGCCGTTGCTGTTGCTGCTGCTCCTATTGTTGGTGATCCTGCTATGTGTTGGAGCTGTTGCTGCTCATGCAGGAGAGTGTCGCGGTTGCTGCGGTCCATAATAACGTCTCTTGAAATACCTGTTGTATCTGACAGTTGCAGCTCCACGAGCGGCAGCACACGGAGGAACAGGTCGCGGAGGAGCACCAGCAGCAGCGAGTGGTTTGTTGCTTGCCTCGGGCCGGTGTCTGTGCACCTCATGACAGCAGCGGCGAGAGACTTCTATGAGTGCGCTTCTGCCGCTGCAATTGCTGCGTTTGGCTTCTTGCTGCTTTTGGTCCACACAGTTGTTGCTTGCTGCTTTGGCTAGGACGGCTGCTGGCCGAGGCTGCCTTTGGCGTAATGCTGGTGTATAGTGCTCTCTCTACGTGCCTGTTATGCAGCGTGGAACGCATTTGGAGAAGCACAGGCGAGCTGCAGGAGCAGCAGCAACAGGCACACGAAGGGTCTGATGAAGACCTGCTGCTGCTGCCATCGACCGGCGAACAAGAGGACATGCTGCAGCAACACCAGCGGCTAGTGTTACAGCAGCTGCAACAGCTGCAGCAGAAACAGGAAGAGCAATCTTGATTATTCGTTCCACAGCAACATGTTTCTGCTGCAGCTGTTGCAGCTGCTGTAACATCAGCAACTCGTGGTGTTTTACGTACTGCCTGCAGCAGCAGCAACAGTAATAACAATAACAGTGGTAGCAGCCTTTAGTATCGTTATCGTTTGCAGCTAAGAGGAGTTCGTCCCTGTTGCCACAGGTGGCAAGCAGCAGAGGAACTTCAGAAAGGGCATTACTGGGTACACCAACAGCACAGTTCCATGTTGTCTGCGTAATTCTGCAACAGAAGCTACAGCATGGGTGATCTTGGCAGCATTCATTTAGCGATTCCGTTGTTAGTCCTGAGAACTGTTCCACAGAGAGTCCGTCGGGCGTCTAGCTCAAATGGTAGAGCGCTCGCTTAGCATGCGAGAGGTAGGGGGATCGATACCCTCGTCGTCCACGCGATATTGTACAACGGTGTGTTATTTACTGTAATATCTAGAAGCGGGTATACGTTTGATTTAATGGCGAGGTCTACGAAGGCCTGTAGGCGGTGGGACTGTCTGTCCTTGCGTGTGAAGTGCTAGGCGAACTGGAGATAATACCCAGTTATCAACTAAAACGCAGCAGAGTAGCAGAAGCCAGTCGCAAGCGGAACGTAATCTGACGCAAATGATCCCCGTCGTAAGACAGAGCCCGTTGTCGATATGTTGCCGCTTTCTTTCGTTTTGTAACGGAGCCAGTTCAGATTTTGCATTTTTGATAGTTGAGGGCGCCGAGCACCCCACTCATTCAATAAGAGCGAAGACACGGACGGCATGGTTGCAGCAGCAGGGACCATCTGCCATAACCCGAGGAAACAAACAAAGACCCGCTGTTGCTGTTGCCCCATCAGCAGCTGCTGCTGCACCAGCAGTAGCATGAGCAGCCGCACCAGGCAAACGGCCCTTGTAGGACACCTGCACAAACTAGCGGCTCCATGCATTCCAAGCACATTAAGTTTCTATGAGGCGATCGCGTCGTTGTTTAGCTGCATGTCTTTACACTTTTTGTTGAAAATTGACCCCCTGACGTCCCATGCACCCAGAGACATCTGGAGCGGCAAGTCGGTGCTGTCTCTGTCTAGAATTCTTTAGAATCATTCTACAGCACTCGGTGCAAGCACAGCAGTGTTGTAGCTTCGGCAGCAGTAGCTGCTGCTGTTGCTCTAACGCCTACCGCTGGTGCTGCCAGCGTCAAGGCCCAATGGGGCAGCGGGTTTTACAGCATCACCATCAGCCCAGGCACCTACGCAGATTCATGATTGTCTTGTTGCTGCTGGAGCTGCTCCTGCTGGTGCTGCCCCTCTGCCTCTCTGCAGGTTCTGTATCTGCGAGGGAAGCTCATCACAAAGCCCCCAGGTGCCTTCAGCATTTCTCGTTCTCCCTGGCGTTTGTGGGTATCGCTCCGTTCTACATCAGAAGGGATTCCTGGGTCTTGCGCCCCTCCAGGGCCGGTTGCAGCTCCTTCCTTGGGTGCTGGTGCTGCTGCGTAGACTTGATCTGGGGAGCGCAGGAGAGGCAGGAACATGGGGTCTTCGTAGCAGAGAGTCAACTGCGTCAGACAGGCTGTCAGAGCCGTCTCGCACTTGAGGACTTTGTCTGTCAGACGGAATGGCAAACAGCGCAGCTGCTTCTGCAGCAACTCCATCTCAGAAGGAATCCAACCTCCCTCAGGGCCGACAGCTAGCAGCACACCAGCCCGCGGCAGCAGTTGTTGATGTTTCTGCTGTTGCTGGTCTCCCCGTTGGTCGTTCCGGAGCTGCTGCGGACCTACTGCTTCACCAACAGGCCTGAGCTGCGCGGAACAGGCCAGACGAAGACAGGGATCCACTATTCAAGATGCCGCATGACATATGCAGCAGGAGCAACCTAATAAAGGCTGGAACACTTACAAGCAGTTGCGGCAGGGTCGACTCAGTGTGTGGATGGGCGACGAGGCGAAGGGGGGGAAGCAAATAATGCGCAAAGACATTGGCATCGTCAGTGGCTCTAGGTGCTTGTTCTTGTTTCTCAGTTTCTGCTCCTCCGGCTTCTGCAGACGCTTCTGCAGCAGCTGTGGCAGCCAAAAAACCTTCCCAAGAAGCAAACACATGCAGCTCGGGGGGACGGGTGACCATTCCTTGTTCGAGGCCTGCAAATGCACAACCGGCCCACGGAGTCGTGAAATACCTGCAGAAGCTGCTCCTACTGCTACTGCTGCTGCTCTGGTTGTGCTGCAGCTGTGGCTGTTGTTGATGCTGTTGAGGCTTATTCTGCACAGCTGTTCTTGCTGCGTGCTTTCTTTCTCTACATATACTGCACCGGCCGATATGTGGTGGATTGCCTGCTGAGATGTGCAGAAGGCAGCAGCAACGCGCAGCAGCAACGGCTCACCCAAGACAAGCTGCTCCAGAAGATTCTCAGCGGCCAATCGAGAAGACGAGAAAAAACCTTTCTCTGTCCGCGCCGCACAGACCAAAAATATCCGGCGGACCCCCACGACAGCACAGAGCTGCAGCCCACAAAACATCACACAATCCACTACCAATAGCTACAATCGCACACGCCGTGGAATAGCTTTCTATGAAGAGCAAGTCATCCTCTATGTATGCATGTCGGCATTTGTGCATATTTATGTCATATTATGCGCTCTAAGCATATACGTATACATGTAGATGTAAACGCAAACACAAGCACCAACACTACCCGCACCATGATTGAAATATGCAGCAAGGCCAGCCTTTTGCGCTGCTGCATCATTTCGTAAGATCCCCGAATGTGTACTTGTTTTCTTCGATGTTAAAATGCATAACGGCATGCTGCTACAAGAAGCAGCAGCAGCAAACCATATAGGCACACAAATTGCCTCCTTTCCCTTATCCGCATGAACAGGAAAACCACTAGCGACAGTATCAGCAGGTGCTAGAAGCCCTGCAGCACGAACAGTAGCAGCACAAGCCACGGGGTTTACCTGCAGTATGCGTTCAAGAACCTTAGGGCGCGTCATTGCGAGGAGAAGGTCTACCTCAACATTATCCCATGGCGGTGTAACAGCTACCCTGACAATATCACACAGCAAGCAGCAGCATTCTTCCATAAACCAGCATACAGCATACAGCACAAAGCAGATGGCAAGCACATGAAACCTAAACACATCACATGAGGCCCGAAGAAGCACAGGAGGACCGGGAGACAGAAATGAAGCTCACAAGTCTATCCGTTCAAGCAGCTTCAGTCTAGTCTGCTGTGGCTCGCAGGCGACCACCTCCGCCTCCCCGACTCCGGCGGCTGCCACCCCAACTCGCACACGGCTGCCAACCTACATCAAAGAGAAAAAACAATGATTTGCTCGCAATTTGGTTGTGTTTAACGCAAAATGTACAGATACAGCAGAGCATCGCTTCGGGGCACCCAATGAAGGAGCAGCCCCCAAACGCGCCAGTAGCATTAACTACCCTATCAATTAATTTTCCTGTCTCTCGAGCAAAAGGAAGTTGTAGAGCGCTTGAGAGTAATAAAGTGAGCGCGTTTAACACGGAAAAGGACGTCCCTAGTAGGTGCAGGGAAGGCAGGGTGCGGCACAAGCGGATATGAAGGCGAGCCAGGAGCATAGGTGGGCAGGAGGGTGTCTGAGCAAATTTACGAACGCACCTTGACCTTCAACACCCGCTGGCAGTGGATGTGTCGGCGCCCTTCAAGCACAGCATATGCGTCGCCGCCCTCCACCACGAGGTCTTCCTTGTGCAGCAGAATTAGGTTCATCGTGACACTTCATCAGGGAGAAAATGAGCCAAAAAAGAGGGTCAGGGAAGATACGACATCAGCGAGCAGGACAGTAGATATTTTGTTGGATGCTGGCTAATCTGATTGGTTTTCCTGGTGACGAACTCCTCCTCAGCATTCTGAGAAGTTCACAGCTCTGTCCAACTTTATCACAAAATGCAGAGATCGCGTGGCGTCACAGCAGCGGAAGCCTACAGCCACCTTCAGCGGCTAAAACGCCGGTCATCCTATTGAAACACACCAAACATCCGGAACGCCTTTACATTTCAAAAACAGGAGCCGTCGTATGAAAGCCCAGAAACCAAACAGAGTTCGTCCGCCTTCTGGAAGCAGGCGGTGAGAGTAACTGTGTTTCACGGCGTATCCAAGCAAAAACAGTCAAAAAACTAAATTCAATAAATTAAACTTATCACTGTACATCTTTGTTTAGCTGGAAAGTTGCATCTGTGGGGCCCCCTACCCTCCAAGCGCTCAGGGCCCCTTCCGGCTGTGTCAGCTGCGTTAATTTTAAAACGTAGAAAAAAAGTATCCATAGCTACCGATACATGTAAATTTCATATCTCCAGCAAATACTTCTTGTCTTGTACATGAATCCTTATCCATATACAGGCCAGAAGTTATGTGGAATTGGAGAATGATTCATAGCATTCACGGAACTGATATTCGGGCAACTGGTCGCTTGGCTCTACCCTTCGTCCCCAGCACCATACATAAAGCATTTAATTAAGCAGCGTCTGGGCTGCCAAAACATATTGCAATACACTTGTCGCTGAAAGAGATTTTCAGGCAGGTTCAATGAAACACCCCGGGGTAAGATCCTGTTTTATTCTGGGAGTCACAAATTTCGGGATATTTATCGTCTTCCCGCTACACTTCTAATGTCTAATATGTACAACACTGGACAGTCTCTACTGTATTTTCATGTTCGGCGGGATGCTGGGTCTGCTGAGCTGCTGTTGTTCAATTCGACGCTGCGAAAAGTTTCTAGTGTTCGTGCAGAATGCACAAATACCAGTTGCTTTTGAATGCAATGGGGTCGAGGCGCTGCCCCTAATTGCAACGCGCTTTCAGTTTCTGCTCGCAACTTGAATCAATGCTGCTTCTACAAGCAGCAACAACGTAGGCCGGCAGTACCAGGCGCTGCTCCCGCAGCAGGCAGGCAAGAAAAGAGCATTAGACGCCTTACCCGGGCAGAAGCGGTGTCGTTACTGCTATAGAGTGCATCGGATTCCGTACCTGTCATAGTCCCACCGTGCCGCTGCAAGAGCAGCTAGTCTTGGAGCGTATGTCTGCCCTCAGGCTCCCCTAGATACATGCATGACAACTGCTAATGGAAAGTGAACACTCATTAGCCAGGGCCTCACAGCTGGCCGTGACACCGCTGGTAAGTCAACTGCCCCGTGCACGGGATCTGTGCTGCACGAGGTCTTAATTCTTTTGGGTCTGCAGCAATTGTTTGCAGCTGTATTTGAGCAAGTGTTCATTGCGGCTGCACTTGTTGCTGACCTCGTTTGTCGTCGGGTTGATGTCCGTCTCGACCCGTGCTGCTGCCGCTTTGCCGTCCGTCCGGGTTTCCAGTGGACGCCTGCTCGCTGCAGCAGGGGTGCTGTTGCAAGCTTAGGCGAATCAGGCTCTCTTTGGGCAGCGTTTCGGCATTGGCTGCTGCTGCTGAGGATTCGCTTGCCATTTGTTCCGCTGCAGCAGCAGCTGCTGCTGCTGCTGCAGCATACCTGATGCTGCGCTTGAGCTGAAGCGCGGTGACCGAAACTGAGGGAGGTGGGTCGACGTACAAGCAACGCTTGCGTGATATAGACCACAGGAAAAGGTGCATGAGGAAGCAGCAAAGGAAAATGGACACCAACACAATCATCGCCTTCAGCGGCTCGGACAGGCAAAACACCTTATACACATAACCGACTCCTCCTTGCCCGTTAGGAACTTTGAAGATAAAGACACAGAGCTGCAGGGCCAGGTAACAGAAAAACAAGATAATAGTGTAGCCCATATGTCTCATGGGGCAGGGTATTCGAGAGAGGAGCGACGCGTGCAACAATGTGAGGAGGACCAGCACCGCGTGCTTCCACACCGTAACCCATGACCCTGGAAACTGGACGTCTTCGGCTTTAAAAAGGGAAAAGAAAACTGCAGCAACGCCCAGCGATGCCACCAGCTGAAGGTTGTGGACTATCCACGTCACCTTCACGAACCATGGCACTTCCACCGGTGTTGCTGCCGTGGAGGCTCCCCTTTTTGCTGTTGCCGCTCCTGTCGCCGCTGCCGATGCTATTGCTATTGGCTCTTGTTCTGCTGGTTCTATCGGCGTGCCATCCAACCCTGAAAATCCAGGACGCTCTCCTGCACTTCTGCTCCCTGTAGAACAGGTGGGCCCGCTGTCTGCTGCTCCTGACGACCACGCCGTGAGCGTGTGCGAGGGCATGGACACCCGTGGGGAGCAGCTGCTGCCGCGTTGACTGTCAGTGATTCTCTTTCGACAAAAAAGCAGCCGAGAGCCCGTCTCTCCTACGCCTGAAGATGTTCGAGAGACGGATCTGTTGCTCGGATTCGGGGCCAACAAAATCCCCTCAACACAATACCGGCTGTCCGCCATGAGGTCTCTATATCCTTCGAGAACAAGGCAGAGGACCCGCGAGTTTCGCGGCTGTCGTTGCTGTTGCAGGAGATGCTGCCGCTGCAGCACCAGCCACGGTAACAATGCTGCTTTGCTGCTGCTGTACGTTGGCCGCGGGTGGCGGCCGTCCACAGCCACAAATTCCAGAGCAGAGAAACCCAAACTGCAAGTGCTGCTTTCGCGCGAGTTTGTGTTTGGAAAGTTTGACTGGCTGCAGTTGAGGGAGTACGTTGACGATGTCTCCTCCACCGGATTCATCAAAAACTGCGCTTGTTTTTGCTGCTTCTGCCGCTGGTGATGCTGTTGTTCATGTGGCAGCTGCACGCGGCGCCTATGTTGCTGATCGTGCTGCGGGTCGCTCGTGCTGTCCGACCGCTGCCTCAGGGGGGCAGCGAAGCTCATGCACGCAATTACTGAGGTGATTGTGAGGGAGACGAATCCGGCGGCAACTAGCAGACTGTTCCAGTTCGTGAAATAAAGCATCTGGGCTTTGCCCACTTCTCGGTACCCCTGAATTGACGCGAAGCACTCCAGCACCAGAACTGTAATGCAGCAGAAGATCCGTAGAAGGGTCAGAAACGCAGGATCGATTGCGTTGGGAAAGTACGAGCAAACAAAAACCTGCCGCCAGTCTCGCTGGCGAAGATCCACCCTCCAGAAATGCCGCAGTTGCTTTAATTCGTACAACAAATGTTCTCCATAAGGAGGCACGCGGATAGCCAGTGGTATGTTTTTTAAGTCTGGCAAATCGACGCCCACTACTCCTCTTGATTCTTTCTCTCGCGAGGGACCATCAGGGCTCTGTGGGGGGTCCCCTGAACGCGATGAATTGTCAGCGCTGACCTCAGCTGGGGGTAGGGATACTTCTGCTGCTGCTGCTCTGGCCACCGCGCCGATCACGGCCTCTGTAGCTGCACTGTCCGCACCGTAGGCATGGGAATTTTCGAGGTGGATGGTGCAAAAAGAGGGAGGAGGCGGCTGCGGCACGTGTGCCTGCACCCCACGAAGGGGAGAGGCGAGCTGTGGAGACTGTGGGGCCTGCTGCTGCTGCTGTCGCTGCGGCTCACGGGACTTGTGGTCGAGATATTGCGAGTGCTTCTGTGCGGGGACAGCGCTAATGTAGAGTGACCCGATTCTCGCAGCTTCTGAATGGCCAGACTCCGTAGCGACTCCTGCAGCAGCGTCCGCCGCCACAGCTGCTGCTACCTGGGCGTTCTTGGCCCGCACGCGAGCACACAGGCCCATAGTCACAAGGTAGCAACCTTCGCTGGTGCCATGGACGTCGACACGGGATTGATTACTGAGAACCGATCGCGAACTGGGCGAGTTCACCGCCCTTGAGTCCGCCGCCAAGGGCTGCGAAGAAGAAGGGGAGACGACATGCTCGGGAGGAGTAATGGCGGAGCAGTTTGCTGCACCTGCAGAGGCCATCTTCAGGGAATGTGCAACGTTGGAGGCGAAGGATTCCTGCAAAGGGCAACGCGCGCCGGTTCCGTGCTGGAGTCAAAGAAAACAAACAGAAGGTGTTTATAGTACCTGTCTGGCGATTTAAAAATAGGGCTGCATTGTTTCAGCGAACAGATATAGAAAAGAGGCTGATGTTGCAGCGAGGCGCGGAACAAGCGCGAGAGAAGACGATGAGATGACCATTAGTTGGTTCAGTTCTTGGTGGTGGGTGACCTTGATATAGCACCATAGCTTCAAGACTTCCAGACTATTAAACAGACAAATCAGCGTGCGAGCTAAATGCGAAACCGATTGCTGCTCTAGGAACACAGATATTGCCCCTTCATACCTCCTCCAGTGACCCTGACGCCCAGAGGGGGGGTCTGGCGGCGCCGCAATCACCAGCCCGTTGACGGTCCGCAGCGGACCAGTTACCTGCAAAATATCCTCGACATTGAAATGCTGCTGTTTCAAGTGAAATACCAAGTAATAGACGCTTTAATAGCCTCTTTTGTGGGTTCTTCCTTCTGCTTTTTGGCCAGCGACTTCCAGGCCAGTGCTCCCAAAGTAGCGATGGTCCCTCCACAGGCAAAGCCATTGCTTCCCTTTTGAGGCAAAACTCGTACGCAGAATTACAAAACCTAGGTACCCTGAAGCTTAGTCTAGTTACTGCGTCCACCTTGTAGACTTATTTACCGTGTGGTCAGAAGATGGGAAAACATACGTGAGCCCAACTGCCTAAAATAGGAAACTGAGAGGTCTGCTGCGTCTCCGCTCTATATATTGGCAGTGTCAACTCCTCTGAGATCAACTCCAGGAGCAATGGAAAGGACTACACGTTACGGGGCTCTGTCGGTGGCCATAACGTCACAGATAGATAGGCAGTAATGGCTGTCAGACAGGTACTGATGTGTCTGTGGCAATTGGTGCTTCACAGCCATTCCCTGAAAGCGCGCAGTGTGTTTCACACATATCTTACCACATTATGATTATACGTCGATGAATTATCATTATCTGCTTCCTACCAAGAGGGGAACTAGATTCTGCACTCGAACAACTTGCGCGATAGCGCTATGTGACCACCTAGTCATTGTACTCCCTTGTGCTCAAATGCAATACATGAACTACATTGTTGCAACAACAGGTGTGGAAGAACTCTTCTACCAATACTCCGCCCACCAGAAATGCCACCTTAATCAGCCGCCACTGATATTTTCTTTTGGTGTAGAATATCCTGTTTTACTGATATGAGCGGCAGACAGTCAAAAATATTCAGCGTCTGCAAGTGGCTATGTGCCTTTTGGAACTAAAATACCACACAGCCCTCTGCCTGGGTACTCGCCGACGTCCTAGTAACTCGGCTATATGTGCCTTCTCCCCCTCTAGGGTGTGATGAAAGACAACATGCGTTCCTTTAAAGAAGCAAGTCCCGCGGCTCTTGCCGCTTCACCCCCAATTACTCGCCTTCCTGAGACTCGAGGCCACCTCACGGCACAAAGTAGGAATCCGCCCATTCCTAACAGTGGCGATCGAACTTCGGCCACTGAGGCTAACCGACACGGCTGGTTGCCATTTGACACTGCCCCTCCAGAGCTGTTTTCGGGTCAGAAAACGTGCTATGCCCTGGTCCCAGGTCCCTCAAGTTTTACGAGGAAGAACACAAAGTACTTTTTTGGCGAGCAACTATGCTCAAGGCGAACTGGGGTGTTCGAGGCCTTACCGCCAAGCCCCGTTCAGCCGCATTCGCCTGGCGACGTAGACGTGTTAAACCCTTCAGGCCACGCGTGCAGAAATTAATCCTTCTTACCACCCTTCAAAGCAGCAGCGCGCTGCTGAGCAAAGTGCCGACGTCCTGAACACAGGCTCACTCTAATCCCAACAACCAACTGCATACGGCCGGCCGATATTATCATTTAGAATTAAACTCTGAAAATGATTTTATCATAATGGAACCACGCGAAACGCGATGTTCATCTGATGTTCATCTAAACAAATGGGGATGGTCCAATATCTAAGCAGGCTTGATGCATTCATGTTGCCCCCTAGCTAGGCCAAGAACACACGGAGTGCCTGCAACTGACAGCAGCAAATAACATTCACGTGCTCTTGCTAACAACTCACCGAGAAACTTGAGGAACTCGTCAAGGATAATAATCGGGAAGGACCAAAGTAGTACATACACCCAGTCCATTGCAGTGAGTTCGACTACGCCGAAGACACGGCGCTGCAGCAGAAAACGCACATCCATTGCAGGCCATCGTCGAAAACCGGAAGCAAAGAGGGCCCAGCAGAAATTGAAAAATTTTGCATCAGGAGTTGCAAAGGGTCTCCAAAAGCTGAAATGAAAGTTCAACTCGGTCGTCCCCTCGCCTACAACTATGATCGACCTACAAGGAACGGGATATAAAGGATGGCGCAGTGAACAATGAGTGAAGATGCAGTTGCCAGAAGCAAGTACGGATTTGCCTGAAGGCACACAAATGCCTCAACGTATGAAGTCACTGTCAAATAAAGCGGTAAACAGCACAATTACACCTACCCATTTTGCTATTTGCAATGAAACATACACGGAAATATTTAAGCACATAAACGGTTGGCAAGCAGTGCAATCACCCTCAATTATCGTTGGGAGCAGGTCCTCAGCAAGTAAACCCTACTCCACTCGGGCCATACGCTATAGGCTGTAGACACTGGAAGTCGGAGGGATTCATGCTGACTACATTTGTGCCACTCCTTACCCAGGGAGGCATGCGAAGAAGGGAGTGATTCTCGGAAAGAGCATTAAATGCATTGAACATTTCAATAACCACTAATACAGTTAAACTGAGAGTACTGGCCTGAGAGAAACCAGAAAGCAGAGAACCGAACTGCAAAATGAATTCGCGGGATCCGTAATGTAGCCAATGAGCAAATGCTCTGTCTATCAATCAGCGTGAATCAGTACGGGCAAGAGCAGACCGCTAGAGGAATAGGCAGCTCTGAACTTCGCTATGGACCCATTAGAAGAATGGTTGGTAGGGTCTGTGGTGTGTTCCCTGACCTTGGCCTTGCCGATTGTGAAGTAGGAGCAAGGCTCGTTCTCGGGCATTCCGAAAACAGGCACGGGATTAAAACCTTTCCACGTGGAGCACCGACCCCACGCCATGAGCTGCGGAACACTAAGGAGCGTGTGTGTGTCTGCAGGGTCTGTCCCGAAGACATACCACCAGACAAAGATGCCCACTGTTGCAAACCCAACATAGATTCCAACCAACAAATATCGCAAGAAGATCCAAGTGCTGATCAACCGGTCGTCACGGTGACGCGGAGGTCGCTTCATCACGTCGTCATCCGCTGGGTTAAAGCCTGTGTTGCAAATCAGATACACATTATCCTAGGGGCAACACTGTCTATTTCTAGTAGACCCACTCCACATGGCAAAAACGGGACAAAAGAGCGGTGAGCAACTAGCTACTGGTGAGTCACTGACTACACCCGGCTCACCGAGAGCGGTAGCCGGAGGCCCGTCTGTCACAAGATTCACCCACAGTAGCTGAACCGGCGTAAGGCCCTCAGGAACCCCAAGAGCTGCGGTCATGAAAATGGAGGCGACCTCTCCAATATTGCTGCTAATCAAGTACCGAATAAACGCCTGAAGATACAAAAGCAATAATGCGAGGAAATAAGCCTTCAAAATGACACAAACACATTCAGACGTATGCCTACGCAAACGCTATAAGCAACCGCGGTGCACATCTTCACAAAGTGCCAACTACTCAAGATTGTCCCGCACAGAAACGCACCCAGAAGAGGAGTGCAAGGTAGAGGGGCACTTTAGGTGGAAATACATCTACTAACCTTCATGTTGTTGTAAATAGACCGGCCCTCTTCGACAGCAGAAACGATAGTGCTGAAGTTGTCGTCTGCCAGGACCATATCTGACGCCTCCTTAGCCACTTCTGTGCCTGCTATGCCCATAGCAACCCCAATATCTGCTTGTTTCAGCGCAGGCGCATCGTTAACTCCGTCCCCCGTCATTGCTGTGGTTTCCCCCAACTCCTTGAGCAGTTTGACTATAAGTTGTTTGTGCTTGGGTTCCGTGCGAGAGAAAATAGCACCACCCGCTGTCAGAGACAACACGCAGTGAAACAGTCTCCAGAATCGAGCCCTATCCGCTTTTTGCCTACCACCAAGTGTGCAAGCCGAAACTGTCTCAACGAGTCAAATACAACGTCGCAAGGCTTACGAGAGGAGAGAACCTTCATTTTCTCTGATGCGGACAGTGCTTCAAATTCCTTCCCAGTATACGACGGGAATGTTTTGTCGAAGCCTTCGCGGATGTGCACTAGATCAGCCACTGCCTCGGCAGTGTCTTTGTTGTCACCAGTAATCATCACTACGCGTATTCCGGCTTCTGAAAACACAAAAGCCAAGCACTGGCCCCCGAGGATAAAATTTACCGGCGTTCGCGACGTTAGCTCGTCCCAAATGGTGGCCCAAATGTTGCAGTGCAGCTACTTTTTGCGGTTCCGCCTTTTTATCGGAACAAACGAGCCAGCTACACAAAGACCAATCCTCCTAATGGGCATGGCGACGACGTGCTTCCTAGCTTAAGTAGTGCCTTACACCGCGTATGCCTACCCACCTCTGCACTGCAAAATGGCGTTGCCCACTTCCGGCCTAGGAGGATCGAAGAGGCCAACAACACCGATAAAGCAGAGGCTGCTTTCGAGGGCAGCATATCCTGCCTGATCCTCAAGGAGGTTGCGTGAGGCCGTCTGGTTCGCCTCGTCTTCCCCATAGGTAGCAAGCGGACCCGCATCCAAACGAACAGCCAAAGCCAACGTGCGCAGAGCCCCACGGGCCATCCCAGCGACGTCTGCTAGGATCACTTTACGTGCCACTTCCGTTAGAGGCACTACGCTGCCGTCCGGAAGCATCATCGTCTCACACCTAAAAGACGCACCAGTCGCAGCGCCAGAAACCAGAACTGACAACAGAGTTCTCAGGAAAAACTCTCTACCACCCACACAACTGCACACAGGCTTGCGATTTGCTGCCCTGCGGCTGATACCTCAGCTCACCTTGTAAGAAGAGTTTCCGGCGCACCCTTAACAAAGAGCTCGTTGTTCTTCGTCTTAACGTTGCGAGACAAAACACTCATGCTCTTCCTGTCTCGGCTAAACTCCAAGGTGGCCAAGTCCTTGTATTCGCCCTTCCAATAGTCGCTGAACATGCGCAAACACATACGCACAATACACCGAGCCCTATGGAGTGGCCAATGGCCGCAATCTACCACATGCCGCAGCAAAAGGTTTGTATGGGCTATCCATCATACTCCACGTCCAGGCGCTCCCAGTTGCTACTACTGGTGAGCATCTTTATTAATAGTGTACCAGAAGGGTGTTGGCGTCGCATCCGTGCGTTTGGTGTTTGCTCGCGAGGCGATCTGTTCATCGGAGAAAAGCCCGAGCTTCTCCACAAGCACCAGCAGTGCTGCTTCTGTGGGTTCGCCCATCCGCTCGTAGTGATCTGCCGACGCTCCCGGAGCGGCATTAAGGTGGGCCTCGTTGCAAATGGAGGCGCAGCGACAGAGCCAAGTCAAAACCGCCTGATGCCCTGACAGCGACTGCGGTCCTTTCACGCCACCCCGCATCTCCCTAGATACGCTGCCGATGGCGCAGAAGCCAGTACCGTCAACGGTGAACACATCAACCTACCAACACACATTCCACACTCTAAATCTAATTGTCTCTGCAAATACAACACGCTTACAACACGAATGAACACAGAGACAACACCAAGCAGCGAAACCGTACAACAATGCATCGATGGAGCAGAAACAACCACGGCCACGCCCTCACCTCTGATTCGTTTTGGCCGAGTACACAGAATCGGACGCATGTCATTTCGTTCGTAGTCAGAGTGCCGGTCTTGTCCGAGCAGATGACAGTTGTGCATCCGAGTGTCTCTACACTCTGCAACCTCCGAACAATTGCATTCTTCTTGGCCATCTTCCGCGTTCCAAGCGCCAAGCAAGTGGTGATGACAGCCGGCAGACCCTCGGGAATGGCAGCAACAGCCAACGCCACCGCTATTTTAAAGTAATATATGCAACCCCGCAGCGCACTCCCGTGCACAGCGTCGCTGAAGTGCTGAAAACAAAAAGCAATACGAGCTCCCATACATCCTATTCTCCATACGCCAACATGATGCACGCAAGCTAGCGAATTCACTAAATACGCTTGCATTCGTAAATAGAGCCTGCCCATGACCTTCCCTCTTGTACTCCAGGCAGCGGCAACAGCCGGCGCTTCAAATGAGCTTATATACTTTGGGTCTGACGGCTCACCCCGATGTTTATGAGCCATACAACGACACACACGGCGCAAATGACCTTGCTAAGAGCTTCGCCAAACTCATCTAGCTTCTGCTGTAGAGGACTCTGCGTGTCATCCGATTCTCCTGCTTCGTGCACAGCGGCCTGAATAAGACCGATTTGGGTGGCCATGCCTGTCCTTACAACCACTGCGAGGGCCCTTCCCCTGGCTACAGTCGTGCTGCTGAAGCACAGACAACGCTGGGACTGGATTTCGCAGTCGCGCATAGACGCAGGCAACGCCTCCGCGTCCTGCAGCGACAGCACAAGCAACCGCAACAGCACATAAGCAACACACTTAACACGGTATTCTTCTCCGCCTTCGCCCCTCCCCCTTCTCCCTTTTCTTCCTCTCTTGCGGTCTCAGCTTATCACGCCAACGAGCTCAAGAGCTGCCGCCTCCAAACTCAGCTATGATGCACCTCCAGCAGGTGTCAAACACCCGACACCAGCAAACAAGAAGAAAACGTCAACTTTACCTTCAGCACTGCAACACTTTCGCCTGTAAGCTGGCTCTGCTCCACTCTAAACGATGCCGTCTTGAGTTCCACCACGCGGCAGTCCGCAGGGACCTTGTCCCCACAACGAAGGTCCACGAGGTCACCTGGCACTAACGTCGCGGCAGAAACACAGCGCCATGTTCCTGCGCGGCAGACGCGAGCCTGTTGCGGCTGTAACTGCTTCAAAGCAACTAGGGCCTTCTCCGCGTTCGACTCCTGCACCAGAAGTAGCTACACTCGCGCTGCGTTGAATGACCAAGAAAGACAATAGGATAACAGCTTCAAACAGCGTAAGCAGCACCTGCTGCGGGGACGCAGCAGCAACAAGCACCAACGAACACACACCTGCCAAACCCCCACGGCGGCGTTAAGGAAGAGGATGATGAGAATCACAAGCGGCTCCACGTAAGCTGCGATACCTCCCTCGCCCCCCTCGACAACCGCCAATACAAAACTGACTACTGCTGCTGCCAATAAAATCCTGACAGGCATAAATACGAACAGGCACATGAAGCTCTTGAAAACAAATGCAGCCACCCACAGAGTGGTGAACAACAACACTACCAGCTACGAAAAGAACGTATGTATGGCAGACGGGAGTCGCCACAATCACCTATAGGGTCAAAAGAGAGTCTGGCAAAAGAAATAGAGGACATCAAACGAAACAAACATGAGGAAGAGCACACGGACAGCTGGATACCTGACGAGAAGATCCTGGAACTGCTCCAAGATAAGTTGGAAAATGCTCTTTCCTTCTTCGTGCTGCAACTCATTTGGCCCAAAACGTTCAAGGCGCTCCTCGACGACTTCAGTGGACAGACCGGTTTCCAAAGATGTTTGGTGGTACTCCAACACCTGCAAGAACCAAGGAAACCCCGCAGCAGGGCATCAACTGACTCGTAGTAGCTGCAGCTCCTAGTGGTTGCCGTGCCGTTATTACTGTCCGTACCCCCTGCTCACCTCCTTAACTGTACAGGTGTGAGGCGCCTCCTGCAGCGACGTGCAGTGGCCCTCAGAAGGTCTTGCGGCCGGCATCTCCAGCTCACGCGCGGGCGGTACACTCAGATAGAATCAAGCGCGTGGCAGAGACTAGGACGGCAGGGGGAACTCCTCCAACGCCGCTGCCTCGTCCCCTCTTATCCTAAGATGGGCTGGAAGACCCACGCACGCGCTGCAGCAGCAGGAACAACAGAACTGCACGGAGGAAAGCTGCGAGGCCACGGGGCCCACAAAAGCGCAGCAGGTGTCGCGCCTGCCTTTGCTTCTCTCGACAAAACAATTCCTAACAATTCCTAAGAAGGAGAGCCTTGCTCACTCCAGGAGACGGTTCCTGCGGCAGCTGCGGCTGCTGCTGCCGCAAGTCCTGCAGAAAGCTGCGCTGCCGCGCTGCTGCCGCTTGTAGTGCCGGGCACTACGGTAGGCCTGGAACTCTGGGAAAAACTCCAAAATAATAATAGAAAAACAAGTTAAGGTAGAAGAGAGTTCAATTACCTAAATATCCACCAACAAGCTTGCGCCGTAGACCAACAAGACACTGGTGGCAGTATACGGGGCTGGACAAGCCCGTGTGCACTGTCTAGTCTGGCGTACCCACCAAGCTGCCTGAAAGTCTACGTTCCAGTAGAGTATCTTATACTAAGGACTATATAACGGAAGATTACAGGTTCTTTCATGCTGTAAAGCGGGCACAACACAATATCCCTAGATGCTCCATCCCGCTATATCGCGGTTTATGGGGTGTGGGAATATGGGGGTTCGAGAACTGGCAGAGCCACTCAAAGCGATTCTACCAGGGTGGCCTTGGCGCCTTACCGCTGAATATTGAACAATTAGTTTCTTTCCTGGAAGGGCAGGGGTCGGAGGCGAAGGCTTCACCTATCCTTTGTAACGTAGCGGGTTTGGGTTTGGTGCGTTTAGTTCCTACTTGCGCGCGGCCTAGCTACTTCGTGCCAGGTAAACGTTCATCTATTGGATACAGCGTTGAAGCACTCAGCAAAATGGAGCATGCCTATTCTTGCTTGTGGGACTGCCTTGTAAGGACAGCTGCAGGAAAATGCGTTACACCACATTGCAAGCCTACACTTTTCCCGCAGCTCTAGGCCATTTGGAAGCTGGGAGCAGGTTTCCGGGGGGACTGATGTGTGTTCTACTGCCTTTTTTAGTCTTATCTTAATAGTTTTGACATTGTCGCTGCACATTCCCTTTGTTGGTTACGTTTGAGAACTTCCCCTAAGCATGATAGCACCATGTGGGAAACACAGCGAAATATAATAATCAAGAGGAAGTAGAGTTTTAGGGACAGAATGACCCTTGGAAACTTTACTTCCTGCTCACCAATGGCTGTAACAATTAGTAGACGACATAAGTCCAAAAACCCATTACTGTCCTCTCTGGAGCAGTTCCCTAAGCAGAACGAAGTTGTGGGATAATAACTGCGGAGGAGTTCAGAAGGTGCCCCGAGCAAGGCTACATGAGGAAAGGATGGCAAGGAGTATGAACAGTGCGACGAACTACGAGGCACTTCGGATGGTAATGGATTCTGCTGCTGAACGAACCCGAAGAATTTTCGGTCTTGCCTCTGTTCTTGGCTCATGTTGGTTTCAAGTGCTGTATGAAACTAAATATTCCCTTTGATCCCAATGGCTTCTTGTTAGTTTTCTATGTTAAGTTTCCGCACTCCTTTTCAATATTCGCCTTTGCAGACTTCCATGACCTGGAGAGCGTCCACTGTGCCGGAGCAACAACAAGCAAGTGCTAATCCGTACATGACACAGTTGTGCACTAGGGTAGCACTTTAAACCTAATGAAACTCTCAAAGTTCAATATTGTAGAGAGAGGTGCTCCCTCTGTTGGTTGTGCACCTGGTCTGCAGGTGCTGCTACCCAAGGAGGCCGGTGGGCGGTGGGCCTTGGGTGGCTACTAACTGCACACATTCTTGGATCCGAGAACACCATACCCCCAAAAGCTTTGTTTGCTCCAATTGAGTCATGTCTCCAGCGTTCCAGATACAGAGTATCAAACCTAACAAGTAGCACGTCCTGATTTCTGATGTTTTGGTTTGATGCCATGTATGGGGCATGTTGCCCATCCAAATTCCTGTCTCCTAAGTTATGGGTAGAATCCTGGTTATTTTTCCGTGTTCGGCTGATGTTCCTCCTCTACATGAGGGCATCAACAATACGTTTAGGGCTGCCGTGATCTGAATGATGCAGAATGTAGAGGCAGTTTACCTTGGAGAGGCGTGATTTTCAGCAAAGCTGCCAGAGAGCCAGCGAAAGGGGTGGCCCACCTGCAACATGCGGCCCAATAGTAGTGACGAAGTTGAAACAAGTTGCATATGCGAACCAGCTTAGAGGTACTATATTACCCCAGCCTATTGATATTGCTGTAAAGGTGCCATTATATGGCGCGGGCTATGAAATGCAGCCAATATCTGAAGCTACGCCTAGGTGATGCAGCATACCAGCCCATCGGTTGGGTTAGTGTCTGCGGCTCCACTTCAAGGGCAGCAGGCCAGTTCGGCAATGTCATCACCCTGGGGAAATGGCCCGTACTGCGACGATACAGGACTTTTACGTTGTACAATATCGCCATCAGATCATGCAAGACACGCCGTGAATTCCCCACGTATGATCGCACATGGGCTTCGCTGAGGACCCTAAAGAAGTTTGTGGATATGAAAGCAACCAGAAGATAAAATCTATGCAGTACGTTACCATGTTATTCCGGAAACCCCCATTTTCTCTGGTTGGATCTAGTATATATCCTAGAGGCGCCTGAATTGGGCACAAATAGATGAAGCATGCTCAAAGTAAGCAAAATGCCCCCTAGCGTGGCCTTCCGACCACCAACTACACCTAGCATATCTGCTGAGCCAGTTCCAGCTCGTGCCGGTAGAAGGACTAACTGCATCAGGACTAGCTTTTGCAAGGGCGAAAAAACAACATGTTAGCATAACTGGAACATAAGTCGAATGGAAGGAAATATTATCATTACTGACACAACTCCGAAGAGGCCGACCAGAACGAGGGAAGTGTGGCAGCCCCTGTACGCCAGGTATTGCAGTCCCGGAAAGGGTGCTATCCGATGAATTGCAACTGTTGCTAAATATATTTGTAAACTTATTTAGTTGGACAACAGAAACAACCTGTACAACCTGTTCAATCTTCGTAAAAACACAGCTGTCCAGAATGGTAATTTTCTCCGCTGCACATAAAGTTGTCTGCAGTCGTCGCGCATGCAGCAACAGCGTACTTGATTGCGCTTACATGGGATTCCCTTTCAAGTGTGCTTGCAAACGTGTGCACAGTAACTTCTTTAGTTTGTTTCTCTCCCCCAGAAAAAGACTGGTGAGCCGCCTATAACGGGAACCCTGATAACTGGAGGGAAGTTCATCTTTTTCGGTTCCGAGCTCCAGTTTTTTGATTCTGTTGCACAACTACGCCGTCCTTAATTAAGTTTAAGGGGTCTCACTAACGCCTTTTCTTCGTTTTGAATCCTTGTAAGTCCCGGTCTTCCCCCCTCATCAACGCAGGACTCGCTTCATGGATATCGGATGACAGCACTTCCCGTCGCCTAGATGCTAACGACGGCCCCAGCAAGGCTGTACACATCCGCAAATGTTTTTAGGAGACCACAGAGGATGTTTTAAAGGTGATACGGAGGCCCTCAGCATAATCCCCGTATGGCGGCAAGAGTGGTCTCCGAGGCCTATACGCAGTTCAGCTGCCCTGGGGGTGGGGGGTCCTCCTGCCTCTCTTATTAAACTTACTTGGCTGGCGCTCGGGGTGGCTCCCGCATCACCCTGTCGTAGCTATGAGCAGCGCATTGCACTCAGCGGCCTGTGATTGGCTAGGCCCGCCCCTAGAGGGTGGCTCCACAGCAGAATTTCTGATCAGCAGTTCGTGTTCGCGCGGCTGCTAACAATAACTGATATCTTGTGTGGTTCACTTCGTGTTTACAATGTTTCCATGAAAAGTATGTTATCTGTTGTCTGTCAGCTTTCGTTTGTATTTGTTTGCTAGTTGTGGGTGCCTCCAATGTGATATCTTTTGGGCTGTCCTGATGCCCGACCAGTTAGACACTGGCTTCTGTCTTTTCAACGGGTGGGGGCAATTCTTGTTTTCTACTAAGTTGGTTTCCTCATTAGATACCTGTGAGGATGCAGTCCCATCCGAGCTGAGATGGGAGGAGGAGTTAACACTACTTAACACACCGCTGTGGCACAGAGCCTATGGTGGACACCGAGGATTAGCGTTGGAAAAATGAGACATTCGTACTCTAGCTGAGCATGGAAGGTGAGTCGTCAGGTAGTGTTGATGGGAATTTGTGGTTAGGATGGGCAGGGCAATGCGTACTTCTGCAGAACACCGGCATCAAGAGACAGAACGCTGTCAAACCCGGCCCTTTCGCAACACGTAATCCGCTGAATGGACTGGCGGGTACCTTGAATTCAAAGTGTGTTCGCCATTAACAGTGGCATGCGGAGATGCGAATGTGGACGGAATCTCGCCTAGGAGTCTAGGATTACCGATTAGCTCTTTGGTTTGGGGAGTGACCTCAGGCCGATAGTTCAGTTGGATAGAATGCCCGGCTACGGACCGGGTGGTCGTGGGTTCGAATCCTGCTCGGCCTAGTCCTCTCTTGTTTTAGCATGTTTTCCAATAGGTAGAGACAACCAAAAAGGGTGGGGAGCTGGACTGTCACATGCGCACTGTTCAGCTTTCACGGTTCTCGGGAATGTGAGAATAGCAAGTATATTTTGTTGTTGCTGTGAGCCAAGGCGTATTGTGTCTGTGTTGTGCATATGTTCAACAACTGTGACACCAGGATCGTGTTAGTGAAGTACTAAACGCGTCTAGCACTTCGAAGCCTCTTTGAGTGCTCCAACCATCCACTTGAGGACAAACTCTTGGAAGGCTTCAAAACATATGGGATGAGCTATTAGACCTGCGTTTTTCTGGGCGACCTCGGGCCGATAGTTCAGTTGGATAGAATGCCCGGCTTCGGACCGGGTGGTCGTGGGTTCGAATCCTGCTCGGCCTAGTTCTGTAGTCTTTCATCATGCCATCTATATATTGGACTTGGATCTTTCAGGCGGAGACAAGCAAAAAGGCTTTTGGGGGTGGGGGTGGGGTGGGGGAGGGGTGCATTATCTGCAGTGCGTCAGCGACTCTGAGCTGCCACTAGCCCCTCTACGGATTAGACTGTAAAACAAATTCTAGTCCATGTATCTCCGCAAAAGATCTGCCTCTTTTGCTATAGAGTTGAATTCCTCTACTAAGCAGTTAACCAAAAGCTCTTACAGGATGCTGAGCACTCGTAGGCGGTTGGCCTTACGCTTTTGCCTAATAGATTATATTTAGAACTAACATTATTTAGTGATTTGTGTACCGCGCAGTCCTGTAGAAGCTCATTAGTAGATGCATTGTAGTGCTCGCGCACTATATTCTCACCTGTGCACTGTTCTGTTTTAATGCTTCGCTCGAATCTGCGAGTAACATGTCTCGTTGAGATTAGACATCTCACTAGTGGGAGTATGCTGAGTGCTTTACGTCTTCGTGGATGGACCCAACATGCACGGCCATATCATCGCCTGCTGAAAATGACTTACGGCAAAGAATGCTGTGCCCCATCGGTCTGTTAGCCCATACCCGTGTCAGCGTGCCTCGGCCGATGATCTCGAATCTTCCTACTCACTCGACAAGGCATCTAAAATTATGATAATACGTATATTCTATATTTAATTGTAGACTTCATCTTGCATTGGCAGAACGTGTTGCAGTTGCTGTCTGCGTCATTTCTCTCTGATGAGTTCCCTTGTTGTGCTCTGGTAGAAAAGGGCCAGATGTTTATGGAGCTCTGTCTGAAGATTGGTTTTCCCACATTCCCCTGTGTGTTCCTGGAGAGTCGATCAGAGCATGTGGGCCACAAATATAATGGGTAGAATTCGTTTCCTTTTCCTTCAAGGGAACGCCTTCGTGATTAATCACGGCCATCCTTCAGACCTCCCAGCCGTGATTCCGGACCTCCCAGCTCGCGACGTTTACGGTAAATCATGCGGTACAACTATGTGTAAGAAGTGCCCCTGAACGTAAGAAATGAATGTTGCGAGACCTGGGGTAGGCGCATTGAAACACAGCACCAGCTGACAGGCCACCATTGCCCTAACGGCTCATAAAACTTGGGGAGTTGGCGATTCAATATCTCTACCTCCTGCTGCCCTTCAGCTGGAACAAGCAACCTGCCAGGAGATATTCAATCGCCAACTCGTTTCCTTGTTCCAGCTGAAGGGCAACAGGAGGTACGAGACTGCGACAAGCCTTAAGCTCGCCTTAAACATTTCGTGAGATGCACTGTTGATTGTTGCGTTTTAGGCTTCCTTATGCGGGGAGCAAACCATGTTCCCCTCGAAAACACGACCAGTTGAACGTAGCCTTTGGAAGGCCACTACAGAGAGGTGCAGCAGTTCCCATGATTGCAAAACTTTTCTACACACGCTCTACACAACACTGGGATGGGAAGTGGGGACTAAGATTTCTGGCTTCAATAGAGCTGCTGTTGTACTTCTCTGCTAGGATTGCTGTTGTGCCGCGTTCCCCTGTCCAGCCTCCCCACTCTTCCTATTGTGGAATATAGTTGAGGAACATCCAGGCCGTCTTCTGATTCAGCGTCTGCTATTTCGGGCGGGTATGCTGATTGAATGTAACGAATGCCCTGGTTTCATTGCAGAAGCACCTGCATGAACACGTTTGAACGCTAACGTCTAAGCCCTGTATCCCAAGATTTCAGTTCACAAAATACCTATTTGTGTTTGTACTGGTGAAGATGGAGGACACTTTTACACGAGGTTCCTCCATGGAGAAAAGACTACAGAATTTTAGGTTTAGAGAGTAGCTCTGTGGTTTTGGGGGTGACCTCAGGCCGATAGTTCAGTTGGATAGAATGCCCGGCTACGGACCGGGTGGTCGTGGGTTCGAATCCTGCTCGGCCTAACTCTGTGGTGCTTTTTCAACGTAAGATATATACCCTGAAGCTGATCTCTTATCCAGACACCAAAACTACCACTGGAGTCCGGCTATCAAGTGTTGGATAGAATGCCCGGCTACGGACCGGGTGGTCGTGGGTTCGAATCCTGCTCGGCCTAATTCTGTGGTGCTTTTTCATGCATTCTATATATGGGATTCGATTAGAGAATAGGACTGCGGTTTTGTGGGTGACCTCAGGCCGATAGTTCAGTTGGATAGAATGCCCGGCTACGGACCGGGTGGTCGTGGGTTCGAATCCTGCTCGGCCTAGTTCTGTGGTGCTTTTTCATGCATTCTATATATGGGACTTCGATTAGAGAATAGGAGTGCGGTTTTGTGGGTGACCTCAGGCCGATAGTTCAGTTGGATAGAATGCCCGGCTACGGACCGGGTGGTCGTGGGTTCGAATCCTGCTCGGCCTAACGCTGCCTTTTTTCATCATTGTATTGTATATATTGGACGAGGATCCTTTGGGTGGTGAAAAAGAACTTGGCGATCCATAAGGGCAGCAAGCCAATGGCACGTCCAATGGCACGTGGTCACCTTTCAGGGATGTGAATGTGTGAGATACATTTTAAATACATTCTTCTCCGTGCAAAAATACCCAGAATATTCCATGGATATTGTGGTTTCCAGGTATTTGCGCACCTGTGTATATGTGTTGCTCAGGTGTGTTTCACGCGTGTTGCGCACTTCGCGTTTGCATATCGTCAAACGGCCTTCAACATTGGCGATGTGGATGTTTTTATAGCAGTGTAACTGCGTCTACTGAGAGATAAAACTACATTAGCAGAACTCCACGAGAGCTACATTCATGCGGCTGGCAGTATGTGCACGCAGTTTTGATGCGAAGCTGTGAAACTGGCTGGAGGTGTACTAGCGGCTTGAAATATACAAACTACTGTCACAAGGCGTGGGAAACGCTTTGGTGTTTGCAGTGTTGTGTAGCCTCCATTAATTTGACTCACGATGTCAACGACCCACATGCAAACTTTTAGGGGTTAAGCACAAACTAGTATTTCCTGTGTGGAGTCGTCGGACGTACTCAGGCCGATAGTTCAGTTGGATAGAATGCCCGGCTACGGACCGGGTGGTCGTGGGTTCGAATCCTGCTCGGCCTAGTTTAGTCCGGTTTATTCTCCCTAGAACTGCTGCTGAAGGAACTGTAGCATTTTCAAGGCTATTTCACATACCTCGTGCCCCCGTGTATCCCCAACCTTGCAAATCCATCACCGTAACACAGGCAATGCTGGTGCTCTTTCGTCTGAGCACCGCAGAAAAGAGTTAAAATGTGTAAATAAACCCTTAGAAAACGAAAAACACCTGCGGTGGAAGGTGCAAAAGCAAAAGTAGGCCGAGCAGGATTCGAACCCACGACCACCCGGTCCGTAGCCGGGCATTCTATCCAACTGAACTATCGGCCTGAGTGCAGAGGGCGTTCTTGCTCCTTAAAATATGAACATATTCTGAGATGGCAGATTGAATAATAATATCTTTTCTGTTACTTGGCACAAGCAACAGCATTCTTCAACGGAAAAAATGAATTAGTTTGTTGTGTCTGTTTATCCCAAGCTTACCCCCCACTCCAATGTTGCCCTGGGGGGCCCCCAAGGAGGCAGGCCTAGTGACACGATACCCTTTCACTAACTGTGCATCTTAATCCTTGTTAAATAGATTTATTTCTGCCGTTTAAGACGTGTATATGGACGTCTGTGAGCAATTATCTGTATCTTGCTTGGGTGTATCGGGACCGGTCTAATGGAGGGGGGCCCTTTGAGGTGTAACCGGCTTTCCTTTTTCCTTCTTCCTCCCTTCATAACTCCATACCTTTAATTGTTTCATTACAGGGGCAGTGAAGGCGCCTCATCAGATGCGACTCATCCGCGGGGGCCTCACAAGGGCCCTCCGGGGTGTCCAGCTATTCAGTCCCCGTCTCCTGCAAGACGTAGAAGCAGCAGCATCAGCACCACCAGCAGCGACGGCAACAGCGGCAGCAACAGCTGAAATACTGTCAACGGGTCAAGCAGCAACGACACCAGTGGCAGCAACATCTTCAGTAGGAGCACGAGCAGCACTGGCGGAGGTAGGGTGGCCTTCGTCGCCTTCCACATTACGATCTATACACCTACAGACACGAATAACGCAGAAACAGCAGCAACAGCAGCAGCAACACCAGCAGCAACGGCAGCAGCGTCAGCGATCACTCTTGCGGACAGAAGCAGCCTCATTTCACACATTCGCCGACACTTGTATTTCTACTGCTTATAAGGACCCTTGGGGGGCCCCTCTTGGGGATATAGCAGGTTTCCATGCTACCTCTTATTCTTCCTCCTCAATAGAGCTGCCGCCTTATATTCATCGGCTTATTCTTGGCCGTTGGACTCTATACTTTTATCCAGTTCCTCAGTACCTCAAATGTATTGATGGGGCCCCCGGGAGGTCTCCGCAAGAGGGCCCAAGCTCCTGGGAAGGAGCTCTACTTGTTGCAGCACTGCAGCCGCAACTGTTGTGTGTTGAGTGCTGCAGCAGGAGGCTGCAGCGGCTTGCAGCAGCAGCAGCAGATGCAGCAGCAGCAGCAGCACAAGGGGGTTCGCTTGAAGAAGAAACGAGGAAGCAACAGAGGGGGCTTGCCAGAGGCTTTTCACTTCTTACCTCTTTTGACGGCGGTATCGGGCACTAAACCCTAAACCCTAAACTCTATGCATCTTTTGAGAGCCATATTTAGTCAGAAACCCTAAACCCTATACCCCAAACTCTGTACCAACATCACAAAGGATAGATGCACAAAGTGTACATTGCTGTTTGCTGCTTTACTTCTAAGCTTTGAAAGGGTTCAGGGGACGTAGCGTACCCCAGGGCCCCCTCATGGTACGGCTGCCGTTAAACACGCAATTGGGGCCCCCCTATCTAGTTTCTGCACTGAGCGTTTGCTTCCTTTCTGTAGGGTCCCCGTACTGGGTCCCCTATTTTATTGTATTTCTTTCATGAGACCATATACTTTCTCTTGTCTTTGTTTTTAGGGCTGCTGGAATCCGCACTGCTGCCAATTATACTCGCTGCCTCTTCTTTACCGAACCGTTCTTGGATGCCCCTACCAAAGGACTCATCTGAGGGCCCCCCCAGCTTTGGGACCCCTCCCTCGGGGGCCCCTTCTCTGTGTGCGGTTTACCCTATTGATAGGGACCGAGTATGCACAGCACGGAGACTCCACGAATGCTTGCTGCTGCAGGCTACGCAGATGCGAGCATATAGGAGCTGCGTGCTGCATGCGCTTTCCCAGCGTTGGGCCTGGGGCCCCCCTAGCCCTTCCTTGGTGGGGCGCGCAGGGACCGCAATAGGGTCTTTTACACCTCTCCAGGGCACCACACTGGGGTCTTCCCCCCCAATGGGGTCCCTGCAGTGGGCACAACACCAGAAAGAGGTGTTCCCGTCGGGGTACCAAGTGCTGCTTGAGGAGAGGGCCACATGCGCAGCAGCCAGTATATGGAATGCCCTTCAAGACACAGAAGAAAGAATGAAGTTAATGGGGCCCCTAGGCGGCCCTCAGGCTCAAGGATCCCCCACAGTAGGGTCCCCGCAACAGCAGAAACCAGAGGACCAGCGCAAACTCTACGAGCGGCCTCCCTTGGGACTTGTCTTTTGTTCAACAGCTCTTCTGCCACTGGTGATGGAGTCTCTGCAGCATCTGCATGCGCTAGAAGCTCCAAAAGCAGCAGCAGAAGCAGCACCAGCAGCTGCTGCTGGGGAGCAACGCCCTCGGTATCGCACGACGCTGGGTGCTGCTCTGTACCGCTCGCCTCCTTGTCTGCTGCCCTTGTTGCTGCTTCGTTTCCTGGTGCTGCCTGCCGCTGCAGCATATGGCATTGCTGCTGCTGTTGCAGCTCTCTCCTCCTGGGCCCGCTCCAGCTTCCATAGGGGGGACCCTCCTGCAGCACTAGGAGGGGAGCTGCATGTGCCCATTGACGAGACCCCCACTAGGGGTACCCCTAGGAGGGCCCCCGAATGGGGGCCCCCTCCTACAGACACCTCAAGGCAATCACGTTATTAAGGGTTTCCACTTAGACGCCTTTGAACGAGCCGGCAGGTACCAGCAGGGACTGGGGGTGTCCTTTTTGTAGGCAATAATGACTAGTGTCCATTAGAGCTGCTGATTAAGGTTTGCTGCTGCTGTAGCTGCGTGCAACACCTACAGCTGCTGCTAGGAGAGGAGCGTATCGCGTGGCTACCTGCAGCAAGTCTAAGGTTTGGGTCTTAGTAGGAGAGAATAGGCAAGAGGAAATATGCAGTGGTTTGCTGCATGCAGCAAGCGTAATTAACTTTTAGTGTATTACTAGCCAATTAGCTTCTCTTGCACTGTTCACTTTAAACAAACCCTTTAAATAACAGCAACCTTCTGCTGCCCCTCAAAAAAAAAGTGATGGAGGCTCAGGGGGAACCGGAAGGGGATGGCCCAAAGGGGGCGCCTGCTCCTGTTTCGACTGTGCTGCGAACACAGGAGGCTCCCTAGGGGGACCCCAAGGGCACCTTTGAGGACTCCAGCTTACCTACAGAAAGCAAGCGACTGCAGCAACAGCAGCACTTGCCGCCTGGCTGTCCCTCTGACTGGTTGTCTCCATCTGGCTTCCCCTAGCAGCTCGTTACAGCCACTGCTGCAGCAGCTGTTGTAGTAGCAGCAGCAGCGGCGGCGGATGAGACAGCCGGGAAAAAGGAGACAGGTCATGTCGTCCCGCGGTGGATCTTCATGAGTTTCTTTTGCTGCTGGTAGAGTGTATCGACCTGTTGTGGGGTCATGGGTTGTCCGTACACCTGAAAGTTGTAGAGAGTGCCAAAAGGCATCTTGCAGTCTCCCGTGTCTCCGTGTTCTTCGCTGCTGCTGCTGCCTCCACTGCTACTGTCGCTGCTGCTGCTGCTGCTGCGTTTGTGTGTCGGTGGCCGTTTGCTGCTGTAGGGCCTCCTGTTGGCGTTGCCTATGACGGCAAGGGGCCCCTTGCAGCATGCGGGGGAGGCCCCCTTGTGTTGCCCATCAAGGTAAAAGAAGGTAGCCTTCCCTGTACCTACAGCAGCAATATGATGCCAGCCGCTATCTAATAACTTTAAGGATACACCCGAAGGAACAAAAGGGCCAAAGCCAGCAGCCGAAGAGCGACACACTCGCGAGGCAGCGCGAACACGAGGGCGGGCTACTACACCTGCAGCAGCCACAAAGAAGGAAGTGTACGGACACCCCAAAACCCCACACAAACATATACATATATACTACATATAGACTCATGCAGTGGGATATATATACTGGGAAAAAAGACACTTTACAGCAGGAGACACAAGCAGGTAAAAAGAATAACACACACACGACACACAAGCAGCAGACTCACACACACACACACACACACACACACACACACACACACACACACACACACACACACACAGCGAGAGAGATAGAGAGACAAAGAGAAACGCATGATGAGACACAAAGAAACATACATCCGCAAAACAAGCATCAACAGCAGCTACGCTGCAAGAGGCTTGATGCATGCATGGATGGATGCATGCAAACGTGAATAAATGCATGCACTGAGAGGTTACCTAGAGAGTTGCAGCTGGCGTCAACAGCTATGAAGGCATTGCCTGCACCATCTCCTGCTAGTGCATGCAGTGCACCGGTGTATGGTAGGGGTAGCCGTATCCAGGAGGCAATAGTAAATCCATTAGGTTTAAGACGTAGGGGAGGGACAACATGAATTCCTTTATTTGTGTCTGTGTCTCCTTCTTTAATTGTCTCTTTATCCGTGTATTTGTCTCCTTGTTTGCCGCCAGATTTGTCTCCCCGTCTGCTGGTGATACTCCCCACAGTGTCGCATGCAGCTAGCTGACCATCAGGCGCATGCACATAACGCCCAAGCCCCACAACTATTAGCTCGTGTCTCCTTGCTGCTGCTGCAGGCAGCACATCTAAATACTCTCCATCAGATTGCATTCCTAACTGCAGCGGCGGGGGCTTTTTTGCTGTAGCGTCTCCCACTTCAGCGGGATCCAACACCACTTCGTCGTCGCTGCTGCTGCTGCTGCTTTTGCTGCTGCTGCTGCTGCTGCTCTGCAGGCCAGGTACTCGCGGTCCTGCGTAAGATGCCCGAGCTGCCGTCAAAGTGTAACGAAACGGATACGCTGCAGCATGCACAACAACACCCTTCACGGTACCCCTTAGCGGAAGCAGCAGCAGCAACAGCGTTGCAGCAGAGGCAGCAGCAGCAACGAACACACAACCAAACCCAGCAGCAAAACGAGCCTGGATACATACACCGTATAAAACCCGGTGAACACTACTAAACCCTTGTAACTCTAGTAAATATTAATGAGCTCCATTAAACCCTACTAAACCCTAGCAATCAGTACTAAACCCTAGTAAACCCTGGGCCTCCCTAGCCAACCCTAGGGAACCGTAGGAAACGCTAACTGCATCACATCGTGGCAGTGTAGCCTGCCTGTGTAGTCAAAGTAGACATCTTGAGGAGTAAAGGGTTTTCCGTAAACCCTAAAGTGGGCCAAGGAGCCGAAGGGTTTAGTGCCTGAGGGGGAGTTGCCGATGTACTTAATTGGTTGCCAAGAAGCACGAGGAATAAGACCCCTAGGGACACCATCTAGGTAGAATGCTACAGTACCTGCATCCTCCTTAGCTGCTGCTGCTGCTGGGGAAGTCCCCGCTGCTGCTGCTGATGGAGACACTGGAGGCGACGCTGCTGCCACCACATGTAACAAGTGCCAACCTTCACTCTCGCCTGCCAGACTCAAACCCGAAGGATACAACTCTCGAGCGATGCCGTCGGAGTAGACAGACCACTGGTCATCATCTGCTTCAGCAGCAGCAGCAGCTGCTGCTGCTGCTGCTTCTGCGGGATCGGCCTCTTGTTCCAAAGCAGCAGCAGCTGCAGCAGCCGCTGCAGCTGCTGCAGATGCTGCTACCGCATCAGTAGAAGGGGTTGGAGGTAGCAGCAAAGAACCAACAGAGCCGTCACAGTCGGATATACAAACATGTGTCTCCGCATCACCACTAATGAGGAAATGCATAGAACCTGTCTTAGGTATTGGGGTATATATCCACACAGATAGGGTGTATCCTGCTGCAGAACAAAGGTCGCGCCGCAGCAGCACCTGCGGCTGCAGCAGCAGCAGACTCTCGTTTATTGTGCTACCCCCAACAGCAGCAGCAGTTGAGGGGAAGCAACCGTTGACAAGTTTTGCACCATGAGCCCCTGAAGGAGAACATCTCGTCATTTGTTTATCAGGAAGAGATAAATAATACATTATTGCTGAATATACTTCAGGTATACATACACCAAAAACATGACGAGGGCGTCGAGGATCCACCACAACAAAACTCATATCCAGCAGCAAATCCAACTCAACACGCTCCGTTAGTCCTGCTGGTAACGGTGCAGCAGCAGCAGCCTCATTCGCAGTGTCTACCAGAGCAGCAAATCCGTCGCCTAGTTTGCTCGTATTTCGCAAGGATGACAACTCGAGATAACGAGCCGCTGCTGTTGACTGATCCAGAGCAAGCGCCAAGACCTGGACGAAGCAGCAGCACAGCAGTAGGGTGTGCACATTAGTGTTTAGGGTTTGCATTAGGGTTTAGGGTTTGCATTAGGGTTAGGCTTTTGCAACATGGTTTAGCGTGTGCATTAGAGTTTAGGTTCTTAGGGTTTGCAGGAGGGTTTAGGGTTTAGGTTTTAGGGGTTTGGGTATACATTGAAATCTGCAATTTTTCCGCAGGGTTTTCCTCCTTGCACTTGATTTCCTATAGTTGAAATATTTCTGAAAATATTTTCAAAGTCGCGAACAATTGTACCAAGATGAATACCATTTAAGAAAAATGTTATTTCATCACCTCTGCGAACTGCATGCAATAAATGGAATCCTTGCGTATGCACAGCTGACAGCAATTGCTGCCTCTCCCTCTCTCCTCCCTTCCGGCTTAAACAAGAAGCAAAACCATTCTTGTATACAGGGCCAACGTTGCGCTTCTTCTTACGCTTGCTTCTCCTGCTCCTGCTGCTGTTGCTGCTGCTGTCGCTGGAATCACTGCTGCTGCTGCTGCTACTGCTGCTGCTGCTGCTGCTGTCGGAGTCTGTTTGAGTTGCATCCTTCGGAATGAGTACGCCTACGTCAGCGAAGTAGGTATACTCTTGCTGCTGCAGTTTCTGCTGCAGTATCTGTTGCTGCAGTTCCTGCTGCTGTTTGCGGCTCATTCGTTTTTGCACAATGCACAAGAGGACATTACCTTCTGTGTCTGAACACACTGCGCTGTATCTGCAATTCGCCGGCAGAGGAAACTCAACAAAAACCTCTACTGTAAATGTAGACCGCAGCAGCATCGTCGGCTGCACCAGCAACCTGCAGTTCGGATGGCTATTGAACGCGAGAGACGTCAAATCTCCCCTCGGCCCAACAGCACTCTGAGGTGCCCCTGCAGCGACAAAGATAGCAAATGGTAGGGTTTAGGGTTTAGGGTTAGCGTTTCGAGTTTAGGGTTTACGATCAGGGTTTAGGGGTTACCTATGACGGATATATCTCGCTGGAGCACCCGTAGCTGCATGCCGAGAACCTCCAGCTTGAGGACAAGCATAGCGGCGAGGCTGTCTGTTGGCCCATCTGATTTGCGCTGCTGCAGTACGACCATCTGCTGCTCGTCCTCCTCCTGCTGCATCTGGTGCTGCAGCAGCAGCTGCTGCTGCTCTGGTGCTGCTTCGATTATCTCCCCTGTTGATGGATTAATCGCAGGCAGGGCAAGAGGGAAAATAGCAAGAAATTCCTTCCTTAGGATAATGGCTCTCTCTATGCGCCGTTTGTGCTGCAGTGCCTGCGGCTCAGCGGCAGCAAACTCATACAAAGCAGCAGCAGCAGGAAAGTCTCCTGCAACAGCTTTCTTAGGCACCGCCAGTCCGGCAGTCCCTGCAGCAACAAAAACAGCAGCAGACAGCGGAAACATCAGAATGAGCGTCAGCAGTAAACAGCTGCAGCAGCAGCAAACAGCTGCCGCCGCAGCACAGGGGAGAACACTAGCAGGGACAATCAATGGCAGAAGAGAGCAGCAAAGCAGACAGCACAGGAAGGGCAGCTGCTGTTGCTAGTGCTGTTGCTGTTGCTGCAGCGGCTGCTGCTTGGCTTGGCTTACGGGCGACATCCTTGAGTTGTTCTGTTATTTCCCTTTTCTTCTTTTCCTCTTCCTCTTCATAGCCCTGAAGGCAACGCAAAGGAGCAAACCCTAACCCTGTAGAAACCCTGGACAAAGGAAAAGTAAACCCTAATTCTAAACCCTAACCCTAAACCCTAACCCTAAACAACAGCCACGCCATAAGAAACGCGCGAATAGACTATGGTTGTCACGCCAGCCACAGGTGGTGAGCCTTGTGCCCTTGAAGAGTACAAAGGGTTTAGGGTTTAGGGCTTAGCACCTCAATGAGTCTGCCTTCCTGGTCGAGGCCGTATGCAAGGAATCTTGTCCGCGGCAGTTCCCTGGCCACTGCAGCAATACAAAACAGAGAGCGTAAACACTAAAGCCTAAACCCTAAACCCCAAACACTGAACCCTAAACCCCAATGCTAAATTTGAAAATGAGACATGCACACGAAGAAAACCACTAAAATACACATACACACCAGCTAGAAAAGAGAAAGAAAGGCCAATAATAAACAGCAGCAACAGCAGCAGCAGAAAGAGCAGCAGCAGGACATACCCTCAAAGTCGAAGTCCGAGATGTCCAGCAGACCGCAGTGCAACACCATTCGAACAGCTTCCTAAGACCGACAGAGCACAAACCCTAAACCCTAAACCCTAAACACTCTAGACAACAAACCATAAACCCTAGCCCCTTAGAAGCCTCTAAGGCGTTCTGCAGTCGGTTTCTTGCTGCACTGAACAAAACCTGGCTTAACGGCTTGAATATGAATATTAAGGGTTTAGGGTTTAGGGTTTGTCATGTATATATTGCCTGTGGTAGTAGGGTTTTCAGGTCTTCATCCGCCGGGTGTTTAGGGTCTAGACTAGGTATTTTTGCTTTTTCTTCTGCTGCTTGTATTTGTTGATCTTTTATTGTCTTTGTCTGGCAAAGACAAAGAGAAGGATCTTCTAAGGAAGGATAACGTAATAACCCTAATCGCCAACCCATTATGTATATCTCCTTTAATTCAGATAAACTCTGACGTTCGCTACGCTGCAGCAACTCTTGACGGTAACGAAGTAGATCTTCGCATGCAGGGGCCAGCTGCAGCAGCAGCAGAACCAGGAAACACAGCAGCAGGAGCAGTGAGAATTCAGCATTGGCAAAAACAGCAGCAGCACAAGCAAATTGAGACTTGCAGCAGCAGCACTACTCACAGGCAAACACATGCATGCAGCAGCAACAATTGTCGCCATCATTTCCAACGGCAGCAGCAGCAGCAGCACAAACTGCAGCAGCCTGGTGCTGTGTGTTGTTGCTGCTGCTGCATGCAGTTTGACCTGCCACCTGTCAACAATAATCGATGTGCTAAACCCTAAACCCTAAAGCCCAAACCCTAAGCCCTAAACCCTAACCTCATTGGGATCGAATCCGTGTTTCTTAAGAAGATTGAATGCCTCAACTCGATCTATGGTGGGAAAATTCTCCATGAGCGTCAAATGCAACAACGCCGCCAGAGCCTATACAGAATACCCGTAAACCCTAAACCCTAAACCCTAGACCGAAGGGCATGTATTGAACCATACGGTTTAGTTGTACACTCGATCCTTTAGTGTACTACCACGGCAGAGGCCTTTGCTAGACGAGATGCAAGCTGAGGTAGTGCAGCTTAGGGCAGATCAGGGTTTAGGGTTTAGGGTTTGTCCTTACTCTAGGTTTGCTTTTGACTTTTTTGACGGCAGCCATGAGGGTTTCCTTAACATCGGGTTTAACATTAGGCAGCAACATAAGTCTCGTGAGGTGTCTGTACTCCTCACCGTCTTGTGCTCTATTCATCTGTGCAGCAAGACGATGTAAATCAAGATGAGGGTTACGCAGACCTAATCGCCAATGACGCCGAGTTAGATCTTCTTTACCTTCTTTCTCTGCCTGCTCCAACCTGCAGCAGCAGCAGCACGCAGCAGTCAAAAGAAGCAATTGCCGGGGCAAACGCAACAGCAGCAACAACGACAACCGAAACAGCAGCAGGAGAAGCAGGATAAGCAGGACCAGTAGCAGCAACAGCAGCAGGAGCGGCAACAGCAACAGCAAGATCAACTGAACCATGAGCACCACCACCAAAAGTAGCAACAGCAGGAACATCAGCACCACATCAACATCACAACCAGCAGCAGTAACAGCAACAGCACGAGCAGCAGCACGAGCAGCAGCACGAGCAGCAGCAGCAACAGCAGCAGCAGGAATTATATATAGGTATACTTAAGATTTCCTCTAAGTTCATGCATTTCTAAGATTTCTTCTTTATCCGGAGAACGAAATGCCTCCAATCGTGTTTTTGCAAAACGAAAGAAATCAACAAATTGACGAATCCATTTGTAACGATGACGGAGGCGACGGATTACACTGTATACATAAATTACTCCAAACCCTAAACCCTAAACCCTAAACCCTAAACCCTAAACCCTAAATCTAAAGAATAAACCGTAATGTGGGGCAAACAGTCCTAAAAATTTACCACCATACACCCTAGATGTTATGATATATGGGAAGCCAGAGATACACATGGATAATTCATAGGCGACATAATAAGACATCGTAAACCCTAAACCCTAAACCCTAAATACTAGGTTCTAGGGTGTAACAGCACCGGCAACGTCTGAATCGACCAATGGACCCTAAACCCTCGGTATGCGTCCCAGCTGCCTGTCTGTTCCCTCAAACACTAAACCCTAAAGTGTTTAAGGGTTTGTTCATGTACAAGCGCTATATGATAAAAACCCCCATGGAAAGAAGAAGGCGACAGCAACAATAACCAATGCATTAGACTGCTGCTGCTGCTACTGCTGCTGCTGCTGCTGCTTTCTTTATTTTTAAATAAATAAAAAAGAGAGAAAAGTAGGCCGAGCAGGATTCGAACCCACGACCACCCGGTCCGTAGCCGGGCATTCTATCCAACTGAACTACCGGCCTGAGGTCACCACCAACCAATACACCCTAAACCCTAAACCCTAAACCCTAATTTTGAACTTACCCTGTTGTAATAAGCACGACTGTGACGTGCAGCAATATTAACAAAATGACGGACACTGCAGCAAACCATCCAATGGCCTGCACAACAAGCCCACACCTCAAACCCTAAACCCTAAACCCTAAACCCTAAAGCATAAACCCTAAACCCTAAATATTCAGCAGTCCCCACAAACAATTTTAAGGTCATCTAGCTGTTGGGGTGTACGGACATCTCTGCCTGATCCAGAGGGTATCGAGTCGTTGTAGAAAGCGGTGCACATAAGGATCAATGCTACACCTAATGACGACCTGTAGCAGCAGCAGCAGCAGCAGCAGCAGCAGCAACGATAGGAGCAAATGCACTGGCAGTTTACCAATGAGTGCGCAGACAAAGAAGCAAAAGGTAAGCAACTGTAGTAGCAGCAGCAGCAGCAGCTGCTGCTGCAACGGCAACAGCAATACACGGAAGGATTTCCTTACCTTGCTGAGCGGGATGCTATAATGTTTTTCTTGTTGACGTAGACAGGTAAACTGCAGTAACAGCAGCAACATCAGCAGCAACAGCATGATGATCATCAGCAAGAGCAGCATCATGAACAAGAGCAGCAGCAGCATCAGCAGCAGCAGCAGCAGTGACAGCAGCAGCAGCAGTATACCTTAGATGAGAAATAGCATAAAGAACAGTAATATTAAGAACAGCAAGTGCTTGTATATTTGATGTTAAATTGGGCATTAATCCATAAGCAAAGAAACCTTTAGGTCCTTCTATTGTTTTTAAGGAAAAAGAAGAAGAAATTGCATATGCAACAGACACCTGAATCAGGTGTACAGACACCTGCTGATAAAAATACCACCAATAATATCCATCCGTAAATCCAGATATAAACCATCCAGCTGTTAATGGACACCTAAGGTACACACATATACATACACACAACAAACTATGCATGCATGCATGCATGCATGCAGGTTGCATGCAGGTGTTTATATGTATGCATGCATGTTTATAGACAAGCATGCATGCAAAGATGAATAAAGAGGAAAGACCAGCAGCAACACAAACGTGTATGCATCTTCGTTAGCTGCATGCAGGTACAGCTGTATAAATCGTTGCAGCAACACAACATGCATGCATACATGCATGCAAGTTGCATGCATGGGTTGCTGCAGCAGCAGATGAGTGTGAATGTGGGCTATGTTTGTGTTGCTGACTCTTCAAGCAGCAGACGTCCTCCTCTTCTTGCCCACCAAAGAAGGGCAATTTCTATTGCTGGCAGCAGCACGAGCCACAGCAGCAGCATACCAACAGCTAGCTGCGTGCTGCCTAACATAGAAGGAGTAACAGATCCATCTATCAGCAAATAACGATATACTGGCTGCTGCTGCTGCGCGTCACGAGTGCAGCAACTCCATAACAGCATCCTGCAGCAGCAACGCACAGCAACACGCAACCGACACAATGCAGCAGCAGCAGCAGCAGCAGAAAGTGCAACAGCAGCAGCAAGTGCAGCACGAAGTGCTAGACCTGCTAAAAAGAAAAACAACATTCGTTTCGAGAGGACTGATGGCAGAAGCAACAGAAGCAGCAACAGCAGCAGCAACAGCAGCAGCAACAGCAGCAGCAACAGCAGCAGGAATAGACGTACTGTGCAACTGTGAAGACAAGTAGATGGTGCAGGACTGCCCACGATCCAAGGATCCATTGACTCTTCCTCCACCTTGCTCCTTCCTTCTCTGCTGCTGCTGCTGCTGCTTCAGCAGCAGCAGCAGCTGCTGCCTTAGCTCGGTCCTCCATGTCCTCCATAACAGCAGCAACAGCAGGATCAGGAGATTCTTCTTCTTCTGCTTTTTTAGATACCGCCTTCTGTATCACTTTTATACCAGGATGCTGCTGCTGCTGATGGTGATGCTGCTGCTGTTGCTGCTGCTGCTGCGGCTGTGGCTTTTGTTGTTGTTGCTGCTGCTGTGGCTTCTGTTGTTGCTGCTGTTGTGGTTTCTGCTGCTGTGCTGGTGGTTGCGCCTGGTTCGGCTGCTGCTGCGGCTGATTCCGCTGCTGCTGCTGGCCTGCTGCCGGGCGGCCTGGTGCTTCTGCTGCTGCTGATACAGCAGGTGGAGCAGCATGGACAGGTTCACGAGTAAACTGACGCGGCTGCTGCTGCTGCTGCTGCGGCGGCGGCTGTTGCTGCTGTTGTTGCAGTTGCTGTTGCTGCTGTGTCACCTCCGACCTTTCCCTGTTTTCTGGTGCTGCGTTGGCGGGCATGCGAGGCTGCTGCGCACCTCCTGCTGCTGGTGGTGCTGCTGGTGTTGCTGCTCCTGTTGCTGCTCCTGCTCCTGCTCCTGCTGGTGGTTTTGGTGGTGCTCCTGCTGGTGCTCCTGCTGGCACTCCTGTTGCTGGTTTTGCTGGTGCTCCTGCTGCTGCTCCTGTTGCTGGTTTTGCTGCTGTCCCTGTTGCTGCTCCTGCTCCTGTTGCTGCCCCTGTTGCTGCTCCTGTTGCTGCTCCTGTTGCTGCAGTGTCCGAAGCAAATCGCAGTCGTCGCTTTGGGGTAGGCGGCTGCTCGAGAAGACGTTCGCGCTCGCGCAGAATTGCCGCAGCTGCACCACAAACCCTAAACCCTAAACCCTAAACCCTAAACCCTAAACCCTTAACCCTAATCCCTAAACCGTAGGTGTAGTGCCATGAACTCTATCTATGCTTTAAGAGGCGGGCGACGAACCAGTTAACCGATCTCTATGAGGGCTCTACAAAGAAGGGTTTAGGGTTTAGGGTTTAGGGTTTAGGGTTTACGGACCTATATCTTCTGCGTCATCTTTAGGGGCCATATAGATATCCGTATTAAGGGCAATTTTTTCTGCATCTCTTTGGTACTTTGCTGCTGCTTGCTGATGCAGCGCATGCAAACAAAGCCCCAAAAGTGCAGCAACAGGCAGCAGCAGCAGAGGGAAAAAAGCAGCAACTAGTAGCTGCAGCCACGCAGAAGATGTCCAGCTGCTACGCTGCAGTAACAGGAGACAAACAGCACACAGAAGCGTGTAACAACCGGCAGGCATGTAACCGCAGCAGCAGCAGCAGCACCAGCAGCAGCATCAGCATAAGCAGCAAACTGACCTTTCCTATACACTGCAGCAGCTGCGGCAGCGGCAGGCCGAAAGAAAAAACCCCTAAAAGAGTCCAAGGGAAGGAGGAGCAATCACGCAGCAACGGACTGAAGACAGCAGCAGCAGCAGCAGCAGCAGCAGCAGCAGCAATGGCAAGAGCAGCAGGAAATGCAGCAAGTGAGGCAAATGCAGCAAATACAGTAAATGCAGAAACAGGAAGAATAACAGCATAAGCAGCTAAAAACAACACATACAGCAAAAACAGTGTAAACCCTAAACCCTAAACCCTAGCCCTAAACCCTAGACCCTAGACTCTAGACCCTAAACCCTAAACCCTAAACCCTTACGCTAGATTGGATGCAATTTGCCAGAAGAAGGAGACATTACGGAGGGTAGGGACTAACTGCGAAGTGTCTCCCCATAGTGCTGCTCTCCTTAGCCACCATAGAGCAACAGCAGCAAGCAGCAAAACAGCAAAAAAAAGAAGAAAAAAAGAAATGTATTGTGCAGCACCGCAGGCTTGACAACCTAATTCAAAAGGAAATAATAAACTGTTACTATAACCATCTGTACACTGCACACATACATACATAACAAACCCTAAACCCTAAACCCTAAACCCTAAAAATCCAAACCCTAAACCCTAAACCCTAAACCCTAAAATCCAAACCCTAAACCCTAAACCCTAAACCCTAATCAAAGAATAGGGAATAAGAAGGATAAGGGAAGCAGCAGCAGCAGCGGCAGCAGCAGGAAGTTGCACGTACACTTGAGCAGAAAACTCCTGCAGTACCATCAGCACAAGGCTCATCAACATTTCCTGTACATTTGCTGCCTCTGCTGCAGCTGTATCTAAAGTGTAGCTTATTGGGATCGGATCCCAGCTCTTGGCAGAAGGGATGAAGATCCGTAGTAGAAGCAGCAGCAGCAACAGCAGCAGGAGCAGCAGCAGAGCTACATATTGATGCCCATGACCACCATCCTCCTTCTGCTGCTGCAGCACGGAGACACCACTCCTCTACTCCCTTACACTTCACGCAGTCAGAAGGATCCTCATTAGAAGGCTTCGTCCCTGCAGCAGCAGCAGCAGCAGCAGAAGCAGCAGCAGCAGAAGCAGCACACCAGCAGCAGCAGAAGCAGCAGCAGCGAAAAGAATGGATTCTTCAAGCAACAACTAGATCCTCGTTGTCTAGGCACTTAGCTACTGCTCCTGCTAACCTGCTGGCAGCAGCATCTGCTGCTTCTGCTGCTGCTTCTGCTGCTTCTGTTGCTGCTGCTGTTGGTATAATGTGGGGCAGCTGTCCATACAGCCCATCTGCCACAAGCAGCAAACTTCAGCAGCAGCAGCAACATCTCCACAACTCCTACTAAACTAGCTAGCTAACTGGCTAGCTAACTAGCTAGCTACCTGACTAGCTAGCTAGCTAGCTAGCTATCTAGCTAGCTGGCTAATTACATAGGTAGCTAGCTAGCTGGTGGGGCGGAGACCCACCAGAGACGCAGAAGCAGCTGTCAGCCGAAGTGGACCCGCTCAACGCCGTTGCTGCAGCAGCAGCAACCACAGCAGCAGCAGCAGCAGCAGCAGCAGCATGCAGCACAAAGACGCAGCAACCCCAGTAGCAGCAGCAGCAACACATACAACAGCAGCACCAGCAACAGCAGCAGCACCATCACCATCACCCCCAACAGCAGCACCACATACAACACCACATACAGCAACACATACAGCAGCAGCAGCAGCAGCAGCAGCAGCAAATGCATTAACGTTCGTACTTTTATTAGTAGGACAAGGTGTACAGACAGCAGATTGTTGTATACTCCATGTAGCAGCAGGACAAAGAATACAAGAAAATATACCAACAGCACCAGCAGCAGAATATGTACCTGCTGGGCAAGGCTGGCAGGTATTGTCCTGCAGCAGCAGCAGCAGCAGCAACAACAGCAGCAGGAGGGGAAGCAGGGCAGCAGCAGCAGCAGCAACAGCAGAAATAAAACAAGGGCATTATTTAAACAAAATGGTGAGCAATACACTTTAGCCCTATTTGCTGCTGCTGCTGCTGTTGTTGCTGCTAGTGTTCTGCTGCTGCTGCTGTTGTTTCTAGGGTTTTGCTGCTGCTGCTGCTTATTTTAGGCTGCTGATGAAGTTATTCTAGCAGCAGCAGCAGCAGCAGCAGCTGTGTGAGCAAGACGTACAGCATCAAGATATTCTCCACTGGGGCAGCTTGTCTGAGCAGCAGCAGCAGCAGCAGCAGCAAACACTCAACGCAGAGGCAGCAAAGGGTTTAGGGTTTACTAGGGTTTAGGGTTTATATAGAGAGATTTAAGGCGGAGAGGTAAGAATAGAGCTAGGGTTTAGGGTTTAGGGTTTAGGGTTTAGGGTTTAGGGTTTAGGTTCACCTGGTTTGTTCTAGCTGCGAGGTGTCGGGGAGGAGCAGCAGCAACAACTGCAGATTTAGCAGCAGCAGCAGCAGCAGCAGCAGATGCTGCTGCTGTTGCTGCTGTTTCTTGTTTTGCTGCTGGTATTGCAACGAGCTGAGTCTGCTGATTCCTTAACTCTCTTTGTTGCTGTTGCTGCGGTTCTAGCTGCTGCTGCAACTGCTGCTGCTGCTCCTGCTGCTGCTGCTGCTGCTGCTGCTGCTGCTGCGAGGGGATCACTCGAGCTGGGAAGGAAGCCCGAAGAAAATCAGACGGCCTCCCAAATTGCCGTTGTTGTTGCTGCTGCAGTTGCTGCTGCTGTTGTTGTTGTTGTTGTTGCTGCTGCTGCTGCTGCTGCTGCTTCTCGTGCTGCTGCTGATGTTGCACAGCAAGCGCAGCTACAGCGGCAGTATTGAGTGCGGCGGAGTCTTCATGGGCATTATGTCTGGGTGGTTCTGCTGCTGCTGCTGCAGTTGCTGTTGCAGCAGCTGCCGTTGCTTCTTTTGCTGCTGGGTGTTCAATGGTTCTTGCCGTTGCTGCTGTTGCTCCTGTTGTTGCTGTTGCTGCTGCAGCGGCAGTATCGACTACTGCGAAATTAGGCAGCAGGAGCAACAACAACAGCAGCAGCAGAGGAGGGTTCTGCATCTCGCTGTGTTGCTGCTGTAGCTGCTGCTGCTGCCGCTGCTGCTGTTGAGGCCTTAAGGCTTACGGAGTTTGCAGCACTGCAGCAGCAGCAGCAGCAGCAGCAGGAGCTGCTGCTGCATCCCTTAGTGAGCTGCTTCGAGTGTCTTCTTTTATATAATCTAGTGTTATTTCACAAGTTGCTGCTGTTCCTGTGCTGCAGCAGCAGCAGCTGCTGCTGCTGCTCGCGTGGTCCTGCTGCTGCTGCTGCTGCTGCTGCAGACAACCAC